CGCGCGCCTCAGAGCGAGGACCGGCGAGGACACGGAGACGATTTTGGCAAAGTGACACTAAACGTGCCGACATGCGGGCCGACAACGTCCCCCCCCCCTACCCTCGTCCACCTGTTCTGCCCAGTCCACCTGTGTGACTGTGGGGCCCCACACACGCCCCCATCAATCTGCCCGTGCCCGTCGAAGTCGCTTGATTCACCTGCACTGTTCCATTTTGTTCCCCTCCTTCGCCCGCCGCCTTTCCTCGTTGTTTTGCTCCTCGACGAACCGCCGAACGGGACTCCTAACCTGGAACTCGGCCTTGTTGATGACGGGGCCAAAGCCAAAGCCACACACACTCCCCCTCTCTCTCACACACACGCACTCGCATGCGACGAGGCGCGCGCCGTGCGACTTGCCCGACACGAGGCCCGACACCTGCGACTTTTGGACGCGACCAATCATTTAAAACACCCTAGGCTGGCATAAACTCTTCCGCGGGCAATCTAACGGGCAGACGCCACGCCAGTGTGCCGGCCCCGTCCTCCCGCGTCGTCCGTCTTCGCGGTCCCGCGGCCCCGCGGCCCGGCCGGTCTGGCGACTCAGTCCGAGAGTCGTTTTCGCCGCTCTGTCTCTCTCGCACTCAAGAGGCGTCCGGAAAGTGCGAGAGAGACAGAGCGACTCTCGATATCAGTCTGGCGGGGACGTCTCGGGGCCCACGGGGGCACTCCGCCGATCCGCCGCCTTATCCGAATTTACAAGGTCCCTTGCCACCCTCAATTTGGCCGTCCAACACATTCCATTAGCTGCAGGCCGATTCCGAGCAGACCTTTCGCCGCTCTGTCTGTCTGTCTCTCTATCTCTCTCGCTCGCGCTGACACGGGACGCCCCTCGAGTGGGAGAGAGGCAGAGCGATGAAAGGGCTTTTTCGAATCAGCCCGCAGAGTCGCGCGGCGGGGACGTGCGTTTATGCTACTTTGTGACTCGGAGGACGCGCCGAAGCCGCGCCGAAGGGTAGGCCGAAGAACAAGCATCGCCACTCAGGATTGCTGCGTCACTCTGTCTCTCTCGCACCCCTCTGGTTCGGCCCATGAGTGCGAGAGAGACAGGACGAAAGCACTGTTTGGAATCGGACCGTAGGAGTAGCACTAAGCCCTGCTGGCGGCCCGCGGGCTGCCCGCTGTGACGGACCTGCCTGAAACATTGGCAACACACAGCACAGTCATTGGCCGGGGGGGGGGGGGGGGGGAGGTCTGCCGCCCACACGGCCAGTGGCCAGGGATCGCCAAATGCCGAAAACCGCCGAAAAGTCGCGCCAAGTCGCGAAAGAGGGATCACGCGGGAAACACACGCCATGCCGTGCCGTGTCGTGCCGCGCCGTGCCGTGCCGTGCCGCGCTGCCCGCTTGATTTATTGTCTCCCTCACACTCATTACAGAATCCGGGGACGCGACAACGACGTGCGCCCATCGCCGTTTGGCCGGTTTGCAATCCGGCTGCCTGATTCGGCGGCTCGGCGGGGCCCGCCCGTAAGCCTGCCGAACTTTGCCGAGGTGCGGGTATGTAACTCTTTACACGTCGCCCACACTCGCGGGCAGCCGCCTCATAGACAGGCGTGCATCCAGTGGGGGGTGGAGTCCTACAATTGAACCCCCTTGGCGCCTAGACGGCTCCCTGAAAGGTCGACCAAGAGCCACACATCACCCCTAAGGTGCTCGTACTCTGCTTCTTCCTCGGGCCGGCTCTGGGTCCGCCACTGCCCATAGATCGAACCTCGCCAAATGGCGGTCGAAAGTCGCAAAACTCCATCGGCATTGCGTCTGCGCGGGTCAGGGCGTCTAGGGACGGGCCCCGGCGCCCGCGGCGCGCCCCGGCCAGGTCAGCGACCCCGCGCCGCAGGAGAGGCGCGGGGCGATCGCACGGGGCAGGTTATTAACGTAGGGCAAAAAAGGTCCGTACACGTCGGAACGTCGTCGGTGCTTCGGTACACAACGCCCCCGGTATTGCGTGCAGACGAGCGCGTCGAGGGCGTCGAGGGCGGGGCCCGGCGGGGCCGCCGCAACCCTCTGCCTTCCCCTCCCCCCACCCCTCACGGTGGTGCTGGGGTCGCTCGGCTTGCTCGCCTTGCTCCAGTGCCCGCCATCGGTCGACGCCTTCCTTTCGTGCATTTTGGGCTTCTCTTCGATTCTCTGCCTCTTCATTCTCAAAACAAAGTGCGCTGCACTCTGTTGGGAGACTGCAACGCCGGAGGCGATTCGGTGTGCCTCGGCGGCAGGGGAATGCCAGCTCAGCTCACTTCATTCATTCTTCATTTGTTTTCCGCGGCTGCCCTCGCTGCGACAAGCCCACATCGCCGTCTCCCCGAAGCTGTGCCATCATTTGGTGCCAAAGCCTCACTTCTGCCCGAGCCTAGGCCGTTCCGCGCAGCAGGAAAAATAAATTCAGCAACATCGCTACAGTGGTGGTCGACGCGCGTGGGCTGGCCGGGTGAGAGAAGGCCAGCCCATTGATACGGCGAGAGACAGAGTGAGAGGGGGGGGAGGCTGGCCCGGATTCTGGACCGACATGCAAATGCAGCCAATCACCTGTTGGGGCGTTGTAACGGTGCATCCCTCTCATTGTTGACCTGTTAGTCGCGCCTCGCGCCCGGCGCCGGCCAGCCGAACCTCGCCTGGATTGGATGGCGTCGCCGAGTGTCGCAGCGCCGCACAGTGGGCCAGAAGACCGGCGGAGGCGGTCAAAATCCCAGACGCGTTTCGAGCTCCAGAGGCGCTGAATGGGAGTCGAACCGCATGGCGCGGCATAGCGATCGTTGCGTGGCATTGCGCGTTGCGCGTTGCACCGCGAGCCACTTTAACGGGACCAGCATCATGCGGTAATTGATTGGCTTTACAGCACACTGGTTCCGAAGAGTCGTTTCGTCACTCCGTCTCTGTCGCACTCTCGGGGCGTCCCGGAGGAGTGCGAGCGAGACGGAGCGACCAAACGACTCTCGGCAATGAGCCTGCAGGCCTGCAGTGCCGACGCCCCGCAGACTCATTCCGAGAGTCGTTTTCATCGCTCTGTCTCTCTCGCACCTGTACGGGACGCCCCGTGAGTGCGAGAGGGACAGAGCGACGAAAACGGCTCTCGGAATGAGTCTGCTGGGCCGGGCGGCTGGACGGGAGGGAACGGCCTGGCATGCCACGGGGTGCTTCAGGCTGTTTCGCACGGCCTGGCTACGCCAGTGTAAATTTGCGGCTAATCCTCTCTATGAGGGCCGAGGAGGCTTGAGCGCTGGAGGCTCGCTGCGAGTAGAGGGCGCTGCGCGGCGGCGCGGCGAGGCCGATGACTCGAAGATGCTCGAAGAACGACGGAGCGGCGCGCCGCGGCGGATGGGGATGGATTTCGGAAGCGAGGATCGCGCAAGGAATTCCCCCGTGGCGCGGTGAGGCGCGTCACTCCACCAGTATTCGTCCCACCGTCTCTCTCCCATCGCATGAGTGCGAGAGAGACAGAGCGACGAAAAGGACGCCTGCAATCGGTCTGCGATCCCCCTCGAGGGCCGGCTCGCGTTTTGGTGAGCAGCGCACGCGTCTATTGGTACTCGGCACTGCAGGTTGTACACAAAGAAAACTGCATGAGACGGGAATCGAACCCGCGGCTGCGCGCCGCGTCATTACAGTGCGCCCGCCGCGGCGCGCGCCTCCGCGGTGTCCCTTCCGCACGGCGCCAGCCAGCAGACTGATTCCGAGAGTCGTTTTCGTCGCTCTGCCTCTCTCACACCTACACGGGTTGCCCCATGCGTGCGAGAGAGACAGAGCGACGAACACGACTCTCAGTGTGCAGCCACGCCGGCCACGCTGTTTGTGGGCGGAAGTCGCAGGACACGTCTCTGGAGATGATGCACGGCCAATCAGCTGCGGTTTGTGTCCGCTTTGTTTGATCAGCCCGATCGCAGAGCCAAGGGCAGGGCACGCACGCCACGCCGCGCCACGCCACGCCACGCCGTGCATGCATTAGGTCACGCATCGATCGCAAGGCAACGTCGAAGCCTCGGAACACTGCCGTGCCGAACTTGGGTGGGTGGGGGTTGCGTGGTTTGGGGAAAGAATTCGTGATGCCACCACAGCGGCGGACTCATTCCGAGATTCGTTTTCGTAACTCTGTCTCTCTCGCACTCATGGGCCGTTCCGAATAGGTGCGAGAGAGAGAGAGACAGAGCGACCAAAAGGACTCCCGGAATCAGTCTGCAGATGGAGCGGCTCCCATTCCCGTGTGCAGGGGTGTTGGCGCCTAGTGGATAGGCAACCCATTCGACGCGCGGTCTTCCCTGGTGCCGAATGGGGGGGGGGGGGCACACACAGGACCTCAGGACATGCTCCGGCAGCTGCGGCAAGCCGCATTGCAGAGTGTCTTTCATGTGAGTTTACACTGAGTTTACACAGTTTGCACTTTGTCAATGTCAACAACAATATAGAAATTTTTGTAAGGAGACATAAAAAGTGGACCGCGTCAAATTAACATGAAAAGAGGCACGGAGGTAGCGAAAACCGTCGCGAGAGAAATCTGGCATTACTCGGACCTCAACAGGACCTCAACCTTACAGAGCCGTGATCAATTTCTAGGTTTTCTAGACATTATCGCACAGTTGTTGAATAAAAAAAGAAAAGGGACATGAAATACCGGGCAACGCATTTCCATGATTCAACGATCCTCTGAAAAACTCGAGGCCATTGTTCGCAAAATTAAAGAACCAATGCTGCGGCATTGGATTCCTTGAACTCGCTGAAAGGGGGCGTATTCGATTTAAAAAGACATTGCGCAATTTCAAAACTTTCTGGGCTGTGGCGCGCACCCCACAAGTCAAAACTTACAAAAGAGAATTTAGCAGAGAGTCGTCTTTTGGTTCCGTTTTCTGGCTTAAAATTACCGTCTTGAAATATTTGTTCATTCTAAACACACGTTGGACGTCCTACTGGGGACAAAGACAGAGCCAATGCAAGAGTGGAGCTGTTTAGGTGCTAGCTTGATGTCTGGCATGAGCTCACAACCCAACTTCCGGCATCAGATTAAACATGGCTGCCGTTGAAGACCAATATTTTTACGAAGATGAAGTCTACCGTATTGACAAACGTGGGCATATTGAATTCGGGATGGTGCTTGAAAATTCCGAACTTGTTAGCAGTGATGAAAATTCTGATGGAGAAGAAGGAGCCGGGATGAAGAAAGGACAAATACGAGTGGCATGGCACCCTTCTGGAGTCGAAGAAGTCATTTCGGAGAAAAAGGTTATTGAACGTTACTTTTGCACTCCAGCTCGCTATCCGTGACCCATTGCATCTGTCCAGAGCTTTAACTCGGTGCCTCCTTTTACCGGGGTGTGAACGAAATCCGTGGAGAGGTTATATAGGTCTGTCAGCCATAGTTTGCATGTCACACCCCCACCCAGTTTTCTTTCGAGTTTTTCTGCGGTTCGCGAAGCATAATTGCATTTGACATTTAGACCACGGATTGGCCGCGTATTTTTTGTATCCTGTCCTTAGGGCTGTCATCCCTAGTGTTTGAACAATTCCGTCCTGTCACGTAACCTTAGTGATCTGACAGCTGTCATTGCCACCACTTTGCCAGTCATCTGCATTCTCATTCAGAGCCCATTGTAAACAAAGAAGGAGCTCGCCCCCATTTCGATTTCGTCATTGTTTGATCACTGACATGAGGATTGCTACTTCTTGTGCACTTTTGTTGATGTATTTGGCTGTGCTTTCAGATTTCCTAATCCTGTTCTAGTATTGCTCAATTATTGTTATTATGTGCAGGTTGGGCTTGCTGACCGCTCACTGATGCCCGGAGATGTTGTAAGACGTATGATCAAAGGGAAAGATACTCAGAGAGGTTATTGTCGTGATATTAGTGTGACGGCTTGCGTTCAAGTTGTAGGAACTAAGCAGGTCATACCGAATGTTAAGAGTGAGCACCTTGTTCCTCTGGAGGTGTGTAAAGCTGACATAATTCATTAAGATTTTTGTGTGTAAGTTGTCATTTGTTCAGTGCAAAATTTAATTGTCTTGTCATTTTAGGAATTTGCTGAAGATATTGCAGTGTGCTTGGACTCGTGGGTGGGTGGCATCAAAATGGTGCACTCCAAGCTTCACCTTTACTTGCCAGATGCAGGGCCAGGATCTCGCTGTGTGATAAATGAGCTGGAAGCGAATGGTCTGGATGAGTTTGATGAAAAGAAGGACCCTGATTCAGAATTTCCACACCGCAGCGATTATTATCCAGGCCAGGTCTTGTATGGTCCTTTGCATTGTCTTGAATATGCCAATTGGACGCAATGCACCAAGGACATGAAAGCTCAAAGGAATAAACCAAACAAAGTTGTCCAGGTAGATGTGGTATCATGTTTTTCCATTGAGACTGAGGGTTTTTGAGAAACATTGTAAGTCAATATGGCTCCACTTTTCAGGTCGTTGTTGAGGGAGTGGAGACAACCTCTGTTGGAGTCCATTGGCAGTGTCGCGCGTACTCCAAGGATGGGGCAGGAAATGATAAAGAGCAGCCCAAGTTTCTGGTGCAGGGAGACGACCTTAAAAGGTGGGTCATGGTGTCTATTATCTTGTGGTGTTTATGTGAAATTAAAAATCTATTGAATACCTGTTTATGCTTCTTTCAGACTTAAACTCCTAAATGTGTTCGAACCATGCACCTTACAAGTAGGAGACAGAAATTATTATAATTTCCGTGATGAAGACACTGTTATCACCAAAGAACAGTGGAAACGCAATCAGAGAGACCTTTTCCGACCATTGTGCAAAGATCGTGATCGTGGTAGTGAGCGTCAGCCCCACCGTCGCTGCTCTTCCCATAAGCACTGTACGCTACGTGGTCTTTCTTTCCTATTGATATCCGCTCTATAGAAGTTGTTATTTCTTAAATCTGTTTATGTGTGGATAACCCAATGTCAATGTTTTTTCAGCTGTCGTGAATGGTCTGACCGCTAAGTCCTCTGGAACAGAGCCTGCGTCAAAAGCCAGCAACCGGTCAACAAAACAAAACCAAGACATGGATATCATGTCATGCCAGGATCCCAAGGCTGCTGATACTGGCCTTCCACGTAGCAAAGAGCCCTCAACTGAGCAAAGTCGTAAAAAGCGTATTACAGGGGATTCAAAACTGAGTTACAATCGCCTAAAGCTAGCAGAAATGACTTCTGCCAAATCGTCGTCTCATTCTTCAAAGAGGCTGGCTACTGGTGAACCTAGAGTGGAAGAATCATCCCATACTGAAGGGGATGGTGAGTGTCGAGAATCAGTTCCTGAAGATAAAGAAAGTGAAGCAGTAGAGGACAAGGACCACTCTTCTGTCAAAGTCCACAAAACCAATGCTAGTCATTTAGTTTGTGATGAAGTGGATTTTGATGATGAATACAGTACCTCAGAAGAGGCATCCATCAGCAGTGGATGTAGCAGTACAGGTTCCCTTGGTAAGGATTGGTCTTTTTTTTTTCTTCCTTGAAGCCTCAGGACTTAATTGTTTTACATCTCTGATTTCCAATATTACCTTATTCTACGTCATGTTCCTTCAGGGTTAAAGAAAAGAGGCCCCGCTCTGATGACCAAGGTATTGAAAAAGAAGAAATTGCGCCGTGCAAAGAAAAGGGCTCCGCAAGTTACCCTTGAACCTGGACTTCAAGTCGTCGTAGAAACACTTTCTACTTCATCTGTAGCTGATGTGATTTGGCAGGTAAGCTCAACAACATCCCTCGGCCCTATCATCATCATCAGTGCTGCTAGGCCTAAAGGCCTGCAGACCTTTAGCGGTTCGATTCAGCAATACACCATATGCTTTACTTACATTTACTAACTTCCCTTTTTATCATCAGGATGGTTCGGTAGAACGTGGTATACCCTCGACTCAGCTGTACCCTATTCATCATTTAGATGATCAAGAATTTTTCCCTGGTGATTTTGTTATTGAAAACAAAGATGAAAATTCGTGTATGCGAGTTTATGGTGTCATTCAAAGTGTTGATCATGCTGGGCGAACATCAAAAGTGAAATGGTTCAAGACGTACACTTCAAATGAAGAACCACAGTAAGAATTTTTAAAAAGGTATGTAATTGGTGAGTTGTAGTTGTCAAGACTTAATTGCTTGTGTTTTTAGGCCGTCACTCCTTGAAGAGAATGAAGTCAGTGTGTACGACTTGAAAGATCACCCAGATTTTCAATACCGCCCTGGTACTGTTGTAATTCGTGTTGCTAACTTTGAAGGGGAAGATGTTAATTGCACTGCTGGCCAGGTGCTGGACAACTATCCTGAAGGAAGGGTAAGACAGTTTCTGAAGTTATGATAAATTGCACCGTGTGTTATCAAAGTTCTGAAACAATAAATATTTACTCTATTCCAGGTAAAAGTTTGGTGGGTAGATGGTCACGTTTCAATGTGTTGGCCTCAAGACTTGTACAAATGTGGAGAGTATGATTCTGAGGATGGAGAGCTGTGGGAAGAAACCAACAGTGAAGCATCTTGGGAAACAGAAAGTGAAGATACTGTAGCGGGTGAAGGGTATGTTTTTCTGTGACTGTTCTACTGGCACCTAACACTGCTTCAGCTTATTTTACTCATGAATTGAAACAATTGCAGAGATATCGAACCGGAATATGACTCCCTTCGTCCCAAACTGGCTGCAAATATTGAAAAAGCTCGGATTGCTATGTCAAGACTGGAGGAAATATTCACTCAAAACCCTGCCCTCCAGAATACAGATGTCATGAGGCGGCTTCTGGAGGTTTACAAAGATTGCCGGTAAGGGAGCAATTTTTTTCTACTTCTAGTGAATTTTCATCAACTTGAATTTAATTCTATCCAAGTTTTCTTTTCTTTCATTTCAGGTATCTTGACAAGCTAATGAATACATCATTCTTTCATGAGAAACATTTTGAGGGTTTGTTGGAGAAAGTTCGAGAGAGAGGCAGAGTCAATGTTGCTCAGAGAGTTGCAGATCAAGTGTCTCGGTTATTTCACCCCAACAGCATGACCTCGAATAACTCTGTATCAGATCCTGATGCTGAGTCATTCCCAGAGTTGGCTCTCACAATGCAATTGGCCGAGCAGATCAATGAACTTGTCCAAGCTCAGTGCTCTGCTGCTCAATCTCCTCCAAAAAATTCAAACTATTTCCTGGAAAAGTTGTATGAACACCACTATTCCTTGAAGAGGGTTTCTCAGCACATCAGACAGCTCTTCCAAAACTCATTGTGCCCACGAAACAATAGCCAGGATAAAGATGCGTGTAACAATGAAAAGCAAGATGGCTCCTCTTCACAAGAACGCTACCGTATTCTTGGCGAGGCCAAATTTAATGCGTGTGATTTTGGTGAAAGTGATTCCAATAAGACATATACTCTACGTTTGATATTTGTGCACCCTGAAGATCCTGTCGCGACTCCTGTCAAAGCCTCAAGCTCGGGCGCGGGTGCCTCCTCATCCCCACCACCTGCTGTTAACCGGGCCCCCTCTCCCACTTTGGATGACACGTCACCAAAGCTTACTGAAGAACCCAGTTCTGATTGTGATGCCCCTGAGAGTGACAGACAGCAACAAAGTCTTCCTGATAAAATTACTTCTGGAGAGTTTTTGGCAGAAAGCCTGTCAAGCTTAGAAAGAAGAGTTTCTGTTGCTGCAGCAGCTGCTGTTGCCCCAGGATCCACACGGAAACTAGCAAGAAGGATGTCCAGTATTCTTAGTAAGTTAATATTGCACTTTTCTCAATGTGAGGAATTAGAAATCATTTTAGAGAATTTATGGAAGACTTGACTTTTCCTTTTCAGGTAAATTTGGCAGTGTGAGATGTGAATTGTTGGTTGGTGATGAGGTTGTTTACAGTAAGGATTTAGGAACCCCAAGGCTTCGAACCAATCAATGCCCAACTGTTCAACCCTCACTCCCCAGAGTTAGCTCCTTAGACACCTCACAAGAAGAGTCATGCTCTTCGTCTCAAACAACTGATGAATTAGCTGTGGCATCATCTGTGGAAAGTGCCGAAGATCCAAATGTATCTGCTGAAAGTGCTGCAGCCAATAGTAATAATGCAGTCTGTGTGAGGCTGTGTTCATTGATTAAAGCACAGTTAGTGAAAGCTCATGCTGAAGTAACTCGAAGGTATGGTGGTCAACAACTACCCATGACATTGAGTGATGCAGCCAATTCAGTATCACCAGGAAGTAACCCAGGAGAAGAGGTGGAAAGTATTAACTCTGCAGTACCTCCGGTGTTGGAAAGCTCAGCAGGTAATGAATCAATTTATTTTCTCTGCTTTATTTATTATTATTTAGGCCACTGTCTCATCTTTCTTATTTCTCATTAGATACCGTTGAAATTGTGGATGATGTTCCACCTGTTGACTTGGATACATCTGTGCCAGAACCTGAAAAGGCTGCAGATGTTGGTTTACCTCAGCCCATGCCTCTTGCTGAGGAAGAAAATGGAAGTAAGTTTTTCTTCAAACTTGCTTGGTTCTTAGAGTATGTGCGTTGAAACCTTTAAGAACATCTTGTTTATTCGACACCTTTTTGTTTTGTAGGTTTCTCTATTGAAGACTGTGCTCCTAACAGCCATAAGTTCAAACTCACTATGTTCCAACCTGTGGACCATCAGAGTTTTTATCGTACTGTTCGTAAGGAAATAAAACTGCTTCGGTCGGCCTTACCATGTGGCATTTGGGTGAAAGGATTCGAAGATAGAATGGTAAGTTTGTTGTTAACTAAAATGTTTGTGTCTCTTTTGATCCTGTTCTGATTACCCATGATTATTTTGAATGCCTACAGGATCTGTACTCTGTGATGATTCGTGGGCCTGAAAAAACTCCTTATGAAGATGGATTGTTTTTGTTCGACTTTCAACTGTCTCCAAACTACCCTAATGAACCACCTCTCTGCCATTACATCAGTTATTGTAGTGATAGATTAAACCCTAATCTTTATGAAGATGGTAAAGTTTGTGTCAGTTTACTAGGGACCTGGAGTGGTAAAGGGACAGAGCTTTGGTCATCAAGTTCAAATCTTCTTCAAGTTATTGTGTCTATCCAGGGTATGTTAAGAAAGTTCACATATTTGGTCCAATCTCTTTTTGTATCTGTTCACCTTTTAAACTCATTTCTCCATCCTTAGGTTTGATACTCGTTAGTGAACCCTACTTCAATGAAGCTGGCTATGAAAAGCAGAAGGGCAGTCAACAGGGTCGCGAGAATTCCCGCATGTACAATGAAATGGTCATTTTAAAACTGGTTCAGGCTATGTCAAAGCTGGTTCAGCACCCTCCTCCAGTCTTTGAAGAAGACATACGAGCTCATTTTCAACATCATGCTCCCAGGTACTTACTGACTGCCGGTCCACTCGCATCATAAGATGTCATCTTCTCTACAAAACTAATGAAACTTTCAGGTGTATAGCCATGAATTAAACCGATTTACGGCATTTCTATAAATTAATTTGTTCCTTCCAGGTTTGCTTCCCGCCTAAATAAGTGGTTGGATGTTTCGGACCATTATAACAATTCTCATCCCCTCTCGCCCACTACACCTACATCTTTCAAAGAAATAACTGGAGAAGGTATGAAGTTTACAATCATCATTTTTTTCTTCCTTTTTTCCTAAATAAGGATAAAAAATTATTGATTTTTTTTTTAAATGATCAATATCTTTGTTACAGAACTTGCTTTACCAGAGTTTCCTTTGATACCTGCCTCTAAAGGATTTTGTTTAACGCTGAAGAAAACATTATCTTTCTTCAAAGAGGTAATTTCTTCAGTCGGTATCATCCCCGCCGAAACGGAAGAACCTCATTCTGAGTCACACCTGGCCCTCCCAACTGGTTCAAATGCTAGTTAGCCTTCTTAAGTGATTAACTTATAGGTAATTACTTGCTCACTCTCCAAAAGAGGTACCATGTGACTGTTACTTAACAAATCTCTACTGCCAACATGGTTTTTTGAGAGGAAATGAGTTCCTAATGTCAGTGCTTTTCAAGACTTAAATTTACCTTTTTAGGCAATGCCCTTTTGTAGGGGAATGCTGGAGTTCATATCTTACTGTAAATCTCTGGAAAGTTTTTGGAAAGTTTCAGTCTGCTTGAACCATGCCATTTAAATAGAGATTCTGTTGGTGATTTTAAGCTTAGCTTTAATTTCATCCAGACTGTAAAAATTTATCTAAGTTTGTTAAAAAAAATATATATGTCTTTCAGGTTGCTTTCCTTGTGGAAAGGATTATGCACACTTTGGTGGCATGTGAAAGCACAAATGCCTGATTTTAATAATAATTGCTGTCTTACTAGTCAGTCAGGGAGGGTTAGTGCAGCACTTTGTCACAAAATTTGTATTTTCATGAGAGGTACACCACTTGGTCAATATTTTTGATTTTGTGATTTGTTGTTTTTTCTCTTTTTGCAAAAGTCAGCAAGTATTGCTGATTTTGTGATCTGTTGTTTTATTACTATTTTGAAGTTAGCTTTAATTAATCATGGAAGGATGTGAAGAGGTGACATCTGCCACTTCTTGTGCTGTTATTGTTCTGTACACATTTACTGTGCGACCTTGACCTGTGGTGCGTGGAATGATGTTATCATATGCCATTTAATGTATTTGTGGATATGTATTTTGTGATGTAGGTATAATTATTTATGAGTGAATAGACTTGTTCATTTTTTTCTATTAGATTCTCATATTATTTGTATTCACTTTCTTACTAAGAAGTGACTCATAAATGATTATGCATAAGAGGAAAGAAAAGTCCTGACTTGTAAAAATGTAGCAAAAAGGAAAGAAATAATTCAGATTCATAGTACTGTAAATAAAATTCCTTTTTTCGAACTTGTGGCTGTTTTAATAAATTTTTTTAAGTTTTTAGTGTATGGTTCAGATCAGTTTTATTGCAGAAAACTACAAGTCATTGAAACTTTACCCAGTTTTAATTAAAATTGTCTTTGTATTCATGTTTTGGTTTGTTTTCGGTGACATTTGATAGTCCAGTTTAGAAATTGCATCATGCATTTGTCATTATGAAATTCACATTCGATTGCCACCTGAACTTTGTTTTGTTTTGTGTGATGCTGGAAATAAACTTGTTTGTTGATTTATCTCGAGCCTGTTGAAGCTTTTATTTAACTCCATCTCAAAACAATTAGCGTAGCACAAGACTTAAATACGGTTTGGGCACATCTCACTTTGGAGTGTACTTGACCACCTTCTTAAATTCTGGTTTTCAACTGTCAGGGTGTGGATTGAAGAACACAGCACTAAAAGTAATGGTCATATGCATTTATTAACATTCATGAAACACTTTGAAATGAAACATGAACTTAACAGTGAAAATTCCGAGTGTTGAGAATAAATCAAAAGATAATATTATTACATAGATAGAGTAATGAGCATGATAATCTGTATGGGACATGATACAATCTACCAAGATACACCAAAAAATGGGAACCGCAGTAGCAGGTGAGTGGCTCGGCCTTCCTCAGACTAAACCACGTCATTTTCAATCAGAGGTAAAAAAAGGAGTTCATACTAATTACACTGAAGAAGTTACAAAATACCCTCAGACTTCAGAGAATACTTCACTTCACAACAAAAGCAAATCTCCACTTGATGGTTTCCAGAATGGCCTTTGAAGAATGACTTAGTCGATAATAGTTGTTTCCTCCTTTATGAAAAATTCAATGACTTCCTCATCCACATTCTTGGTGTCGGTTTCAATTTCATCAGTATCAACATCTAAAAAGGGACAATGATTAGGAGTGCGCGGAAGAGTACAAACAGAAAATAAGGTTTAAAATGCAGAGACTTACTATTTCTCAGTTGGAGACGCCTTGGTTTCTGTTCTTGCCATTTCTCTCTGCACTTATCGCGGTATGCATTGAACTCATTCATCAGAGTTCGCCTCTTCTCCACAAGTTCCTGAAGAAATCACAAGAACATTAGCATCATCCAATTATCTCAATAATAATAATAATAATAATTGTAAAATTCTATAATACAAACCTTTGAGGCACGAGATGAACGCATTCGATCTTTGCTCTCAAATTGAGCAGAGTACTTCTTCAAATTCTTTTTGATCTCCTTCTGTTCCTTGATGGATAGGAGGGATGCAGGTCGCGGACGCCAAAGTAACTGACAGAAGGCTCCTGAATTGAAGCGTTTTAGAATCTTGCCCTGGAATGACCATACTGAGTATCCAGTGTCAACCTTGGCCTTCCAGAAGGAGCAAACAGTCACAACATAACGGCCAGTCGGGTCCCATTCAACATCAGAAGCCTGGAAGTGCTCTTGTTGTGCCATGACATTGAAGTCAGCAGTGTCCACAAACTCCAGAACACCACTGGATGAACGCAAGTCAGCCAAGACAATGTACTGTCCAGTAGGAGACCAGAACAAATGGTTGCAACACTTCTTCTCCAGTTTTTCTGCAAAACAGAGAAAATTCAAATCAATTTGCAATGGAAAGATCACCATTATTCCTAGATGTTACGACCACTTACTGAGAAGAGCTGGTGTCTGTCCGGTCTTAACACCATAGAATGAAACACAGATATTCGGCTGATCACCATGAATAATGGCAAATTTGGACCCAACAGGCTCCCATGCAAATGCATGAATTGATTCCTTCACTTCCACACTGTCAACTGGAATCTGCTTCTCTTGCATGTGGAATATTTCAAAATTGAAGTACATCCCCTGTAAAAGCAAAAAGCATGAAATAAAAGACCTATGAAGAGGAAGGCAGTTCTGTAGTCAAAATCAGTGAAAGGGATACTCACGCTGTATTTGATTTCATTCTTGTCCTTCCTGATTTTGCTGTATCGGTCTACCTTCACACACAGATAATCCCCAGATTTCTGCCAATGCATACGGCAATCAGCTACATTGAACAAGTTTTTGGACCGGATTTCACTGCGGCTAAGGGAGGCAGGAGATGCAGAAAAGAAAGTATTTAGGTAGTCCTTTACCACCCCAGAACCATCTTTTCCCAAATTCCATGCTAGAAATTAATACAAACCTTGGGATTTCAATAAGTGTCACCCTAGCAGGTACATCCTTGTCCTCTGCCATCCAATATGCAAGGATGTTGTCAGCTGGAGACCAACTAAAATCTCTAATGCCAGGGATCTTAAAACTTTTCTTGTTCAGCAAACCAAATGACTGTAAAGAGCAGATTATTAATATTAGCCTCACTTGAAATAGAAAAGTATATTAAAAATGAAACTAGCAGCACTTACAGGTGTTTCATATACACTCAACATATCTTCATCACTTCTGGCAAAGTACTTGTCATCATGAGACCATCGAATGAAAGGCCACATCATCTGGCAGTTCAAGAAGAATGATCTCTTCTCCTGGCCAGTTCGGATATCCCAAATGATGAGGTTCTTGGGTTCACCAGGACCATCAAATGTAGGAGAGTAAGTTACAATGTACCTAGGAAAATTTTTTGAACAGGAACAAAATGAATTTAAGGTAATCAATTGCACATCAAAATAACTCAGTAATGAGGTAATTTGACATAAGTCTAAGCATGGTAATAAAACACTATCCAGTCTAATTTGATTTTCCTCTTTCAATTTTTCTACATAGAAATAAGTTGAGATTGAGTAACATTGAGCTTGTCAGAAAAGATTAAGCATTGCAATCAACACTGTGCAGTTGATTTGATTTCTTTCATCATTTTGTTACATTGAAATAAATTGAGATTGAAAAACATTTCACTTGTCAGAAAAGATTAAGCCATAGTAATCAACACTATGGAGTCTGATTTGATTTCTTTTCATCATTTTCCTACATTGAAATTAATTGAGGTTGAGAAACATTTCACTCGTCAGAAAAGATTAAGCCATGGTACTCAACACTATGGAGTCTGATTTGATTTTTTTCATCATTTTTTTACATTTAAAAATTAAGGTCATAAAATGTTGCCACTGTCAGAAAAGATTAAGCCAAAGTAATCAACACGGTAGAATCTGTCAACATATTTCATCATATGGCAGAAAGTAAACTTGAACAGAAGTAAAAAAAAATAAACTACAAGAGATCCCAAAACCCTGTGACACGTTTCATTAACAATACAACTTACTTTTCGCTGGGCGAGAAGTCAATGAACTGAACCCCTGGGTGAGCAAACTTCATTTTCCTGACAAAGTCTGGTCCGCCCCACAAGCAAACACCAGCAAGATGAATGGTGGTAAAGTAGGTTCCCATTGGTGACCACTTGACATAGGTTTCTGTCCATCTCTGCACACATAAGATAAAGGAATTTTATGACATGAATTTGACAGGACAAGAGAAAGAGAATACACTCCAAGACTTTACCTCTTTTTCTACCAACTTTATTGGCTCTGGGGCAGAGTTAAGCCAAATTTGAACTGTGCCACCCCTGTTCATGACAGTACTGTACTGATCATATGCATCAGGCTCCAACAAGTAATAGTGGAGGTTGCCCATGTCAGTGTAGGGCTGGGGTGCAGGTGGCTCCCATTCATCAGGAATCTCCTCATACCTGGAGAAATACAGCAAGCCATTAGAAAACTGCTAAAAAAAATTAGGTAGATATGAAAAGAATTTAATTCAAAACATTATCCTACTTTCTAAAGTCTGTGAATAGATTCACAGAAAATGTGTGAAGCCTATCAAGCTTGTGGTTGTTAAGCAAGGTCACAGCTTCAGCAGCATGACCAGGGTTAGCATACTCAATGAAGACATATCTGAAAGAAAGATCAAGCATTTACTAACTTCACTCTCAAAGAACTATGTCAATAATTTGATACAGGTAAGAATCAATGGAAGCCTTACCCTTTGGTGTTACCATCAGGAGTTTTAGGATAGCACTCATTTACGATTTCACCCACTTTGGAGAACAATTTACTGACAACATTGCGCAGTTTTTCAAAGCGCTCAGTACTAACAATGGGTATACCATCAACTACAATAACTGATTCTACTCCATCGGTTTCTTGAGGCCTATTTTTCAGAATATCTCCCAAAAGATCTGTAAGTGAGTTAAAGAAAGTTGTGACAAAACCGCTAAAAAGTACACAGAACTATGAACAGACAGCAGGATGGTCCATCAGAATGTTTTGGCAGAGACTTAAGTACAGGTTGTAGAGGAAAGCATGAAAGTAAGATAGATAGGAGCCATATGGAAACACGAAAGTTCCGTTCATCAAAGTTGATGGAAATCAGGGTGACCGGTTAACAGTCTGGAGATGTGATGACATCACAGAACAGTTTAGGTTAGGGTGAGAAAAACTTGTTAGATATTTGTTAAATTCATTGACTATTATCAACACGGGTACAAGAAAATTGATTGGATTCAAGGCAAATTTCTACGAAAAGTACATCTAAAAATATCTTAAATTATAAATTAGATGGGAAGAAACGAAGACCATATGCTGCAGTGACTTTTTGCACAGAAAAGGCACGAAACAATAGACTAACCTTCATCTGAAATATTGTCTACATAATCCTCAGGATCACTGAAATTCGGTTCCTCGTCCTCAGCACCCTCTGTTTTCTCCTGCTTGTTATTTTCGTCATTTTGAGCAGCCTTTTCGGCGTCCTTCTTCTTGGCCATCTTGGAAACCTCGTGGAGGAATATGGCTGCCGTCAGCGGTTCGAAACGCCGCTGACGTTGCGCGTTTATTGTTGCAAGGCGCACTTTGCGCTGCCAACCAAACTAAACCAAACTAGACCCGCCTCGTGAAGCTTTCTCTTGATATTTGCTGCAGAATGTGGATGATATCAGGAGAGGAAGATATTTTTTCCTGATTTATCTGAGCGTTCTTCCATCTTTTTGTAGAGGCTGAAGAATATACAAGTGAAGCTGTTTTAGTGCAGTCACGCAAAACTGAACAACAAAAGGATTGCGGAAGACGATTATTTTACATTGCTTCCTTATATTGATTCTGATTTTTTTATTTTCATGGAATTATAGGTGGATAGTTTATTAGTCAATCTTAGGTGCAGAGTCAAGCTCTTTTTAGAGCCCATTAACGTTTTAAGAACGTGGAAGGTGCGTTAGCAGAAGAGCAGAAGGCAGCCGCAGACGACATCTTGTTTCTATAGCTGCACGTACCTAAGCGTAGCAGTTTCCATCTTGCTGCCAGAGTATCAAAGCGGTCCAAGCATAACCGGATTCGACGTGGTCAGCTTCTTGTGTGGTGTCTGCAACTGTTGTTGAAGCTTATCGCGGCTGTTGTGATGTAGTCTGTAACTACTTTAAAACGCGTGTGGAGAGTCCGTGCGACTGAAAACATGAGTGATATGCCCTGCATAACGTACATGACTCTGTATATTCTTTCCCTGCACGTCATTCAGAGTAATTCAAGGGCTTCTACAGGATGGAGGTTAGATCCGGAGGAGGGAAAAATTGTACAGACCACCATATATCCCAACGCTTTTGGGCCTCAAAGTACCGAGGATCTAATTTTTGACATCATATCGTCCACTGTTCATGTTGGGAACACCTGGACCAAAACGGTTGCAGGCAACCTGTGCAAAGAGTGTCAGTCAACAAACACTTCTGTGTCAGGGTAAGTTGTTACTGCCTCAAGTTTGTGCAGTGTATTTAAGCATCAACTTGATTTAATTTTCTAATTGCCTTTTTTTCCCTCAGAACAACAAACGCAGTTAACACAACAAGCGACATTTCAAATGCCACCAGTCGCTCTCTTCCTGTGCCGAGCAAGAATTCCCGCCACTGTAATGGATCCGCTTCCAATAATGTTAAAGCGAAATTGACAGCCCCAGATGGAACAGTTTTGAAGAGCAAAGAACCTAAACCTGGGGACTTGGAGGAGTTGGACTGTGGAAAACCTGTTAATTTTACATACTATGACAACCTTTTGGGCGTTTCAAACCGACAGTCTCATCCTCATGTACCTGAGGTACAAATGGAATTAATATTTAAAAAGAAAATGGTCAAAGAACAAGATGTTGAAAATATGGAAAGAAAGTTGAGAAAAGCAAAACGAGATGTAAGCGGCTGTAAGACTGACCCATAATATTTTATGTGTGCCAATCATGATTACTCAAGCCCTGTTATTTTGTTTTCAGAAACCCAAATCAGTGAAGCTCTACAACCAAATAGGGAACTTCTGGCGTATAAAAGGAGACACTCAAAAATCCATCGAATGCTTTAGAAGGGCATTAGCTGTCTCACCTGACAATGCAGAGGTATTTTCAATACAAAATTTTATTTCGCTCTTTATATGTATTTGAATGTTTTTCTTAATCCTATCTTTTTTCTAGGTGCTGCTTAATTTGGCTAGAGTCATGTTGAATCTCCAGTACTGGGATGATGCCCTGAAGTTAACTGTCTGGTCTTTGGACAAGACCGACAAAAACGCATGGCAACAACACTTTACTTTAGGAGAAATTTTCAAGGTAAATTTCTTGTGATACATGCAGTTTTATTGTCAGTATTCACCTTATTTTCAGTTTTTAATGACACACCATTGCTTTACATGCAGGCCATCGGTCAGTACCGAAATGCATCAGCACATTTGAGACATGCTGTGGAGCTCAAACCTGACTTTGAGCCAGCTGTTGAGTTACTTCGCAGTATTGAAGAAGCTAAAAATGTGCACCTATACACATTGTTTATAGTTTGTATTCTGGTGAGTGGATGAAATGAATTACCACATGTGTTTAATGTCGTGCTGTTCCATATTTAACTGTGTTTCACACTTTCTTGCTATTTGCAGGCATTGGCTGTCATTCTAGTCATTCTCTTAGGGTGTCTCCTTGATGATGATGAGGATGATGTTGTGGGTCCCAAAGTTCAGCGCCATTACAATAAACCACTTGGTGTGCGATCCCTGAAACTAGGGATATCCTCACGGGGTTTTCGTAATAAGGGGTCAGGCAGGAATGGAGGCCACAGCTAAAGGCATTCAGTCCAAACATCCTCTTTCCTTTTGTTAAGTATTTAACTGAATATTGTTTGTAGCAGCCTGTATTTAATTTGGTTCTACCAAGCAACTTTCTTAAGACTGGGATTCTTTGCAAGATAAATACTTTTGTTGTGATTTCTTTGTGTTCAAGTTTGATTTTAGTCTCACCTTGTGATAAAGTTAATGTACAATTGAAGTAAGAGTAATATTGTATTAGTATAGTTTTAAACTGAGAGCCCTCAGTACAAAGTTATTATGTTCTTGTCATGCGTAAATTATTGGGTTCAACTGGCTGATTTCTGTCACTTGTCCAATTTCCAGTGTGCATGTTAGTCTGTGTACAAGTTCCTTTAAGTTGTTGTGTTTTCCTTTCCCTTTTTTTGTTGTTTAATTTGGTATGTATGGCAACTTATTATCATGAGACATGCTTTCAACACAGAGTGAAAATCTTTCTCTATGAATTTGTGAGTATAATAGTACTTTTTATTTACAATACAACCTTCTTCATTTCATATGAATGTCCTTGATTGTTACGAATTGAGAACTTTTCAAAAGACCTGACTTTCAGCTCGGGTAGCAGAACTTATTTGCTGCCAAGAGAGAAAACAGTGATGAAAAATTTTGTTTTGTTTTATATAATTTAATTTTAACAAAGTCTTTTGATCAATACCTCAAGGAACTATTATTTAGCTGCGCTTGTTTGGACACATCTTATTTTACCCTGTGTTTATTGCGACAAAGTCTCTCGTTTTTGGTCTTCTGCCACATTTGATTTTATTTCCTCTTTCTGTTTTCTGAGTTATCTCACTCAAGGTTACTGTTGACTTATTTCTGTGTGGAGTCTTGCAAATACTTCAGATTGTAGTTGTAAGGGCAACTCTTTTCAGGAGTTACAAGAATTTTAATGTCCTCTTCTCCATTATTGAATTTTATCTCAATTTTGACACTTCCAAAACCCTATTTCAAACCTTGAATTGTTTGGCAAGAGTTTGGTGGACTTCCAGAGTGTTGGATGTGTGGATGTAAAGCACTGAATCAATTGATTGTCTCCATGTCTCCATTAATATTTGAAATTTTCAAGGTTTGACTTTGCTGGGGCTTCAATACATTAGATGTTTTTGGAGAGATGTAGCCTCTTTCTAGTAATAGACTCCTTGCAATCTCAATAGAGTATTGTGTTTGCTCCACTTTTAGGAATGTAGGATATTTGTATTATGAGTGAGAAGACCGATCTAATGTGTTAGAGATATTGTTTGTCAACTGGAGCACAAGCTACACTGCTATCAAGTATTAAACCTGTACATAATCAAGTTATCTGTTAAAGAGTAGAAATTGTCAGATAGTTGTACAAGACCGTATGTTGTGAAATCTATTGCACATTTTGCTTTACTGTATGTTCAAATACAAGGAGCAATGATTATTCATAGCATTCCAAAGAGTGTGTCCTCAATTTTTGAGACAATCTAGGGTGTCAAACTTGTGCATTTTCTAAAATGCAATCTGGGCTATCGAGTTTTATGTTGTTATATCTTGTCCAGCCTTAGCAATTTGTATGAGTGCTGCTTTGGCCAAGTCAAGTGTGCATGTAACATGTAACTGTAGTGACATATTTGTGCTAAAAATGCCTTCCTTGGCATATTTGTCCAATCTAATAAAGTTGCACCAATGTGCTGCTAACTGTCAGTTGAATTGTTTTAAACCATTGCTCCATCATCATAAAAAGCACATCACATACAGGCAAAAATAAATACATTTATTTGATTAAAATGCACACTTACATACATACAAATTAATTTCCTGCCAGAGGATGATCTTATAATTCTGTTGCAGCTGATTCCGGTTCAATGATGTAGATGACACATTCAGTACTCTTCAAATGCAATGAGTTTTCAATTGATCACAAAAATTCACATACAGAATTTTCTTATTCATGGCAAACGTTTCGTTCAAGTATGCATGACAGCATATAAAAATAACACTGGAACTGTCAACAGTAAGCAAAATGTATGTCAACACACTGTAATCCCTTGGCAGATGGTAATGCGGGCTTACTGTTGTTATCTAATATTTTTCTCACTTAAAGTGATAAAGGAATATAATGCAAGAGAATGCAGAAATTACACAGTGGTACAGTATCCGGCATCTCAAGTCACAAGTACTGTTCCTACAGGAAAAAATATTTATCAGCAGACTATTCAGGTCACAATAGTTTCAACAAAAGCATACCTAATTTTATTCAATAACATTAGCTGATACACAATACACCTAATTTTAGTAGAATAAACTCTTTAGAAGCAAAAGAACAGTATAACCTGCTTATAACGTAATCCCATAAGTCACAGAAGCAAAAATGAACTAAAAACAAGGAATCCCATGAAATCCTGTCTCCTTTTCATATTGAGTGACACACATACAAAATGGACCCAAGCGCTTATGTTATACGCAAGTTATACTGGAAGAATTCATACCTTAAATGGTCAATTTCAGCTGAGAAAAAATTCTGACACATACCTGACAACAATTCACTTCTAAGTGATGCTACAACTAAGAGGCACAAAAATAAATTTTGGGGAAAATTGCTATGACAACTTTTATAATTTGTAACATTTCTTATATCATCTAGTATTTATTTTTATCAATGCAAAAAAATTTAAAAAATACCAGGGATATATGCAAGACACAATTTGATCAACTACGCCATAAATTCAAAATTCTAGTACAACTTCTCTCAAATTTTATCTTTTTAATGGGAACATAAAGCACACGTCCATTTTATTTTCACATCACAGTTATGTATGCTGCCGCAACGCTATCCCAGTACTGGCAGAAAGATCGTTTTATTTAAGAATCTTCAGACTAGAAACATAAATACATTGAAAATGAACCATGCTGAATGGAATGTCTAAGAAAAGGCTTTGAAAGTTGCAAAACTACAAGAGAAACACAAACACACAAAAAAAGAAAACAAACAAGCTCACTTAATTTTGTCAATACAACATAAATCTTAATTTGTAAAAAAAAAAGGGGCAACAGAAAAAGAAACAATCAAATAAATTACAGGACATAAAAACTAAGGCCTACTAACTAAAAAGATTGACCAGTTCTTTGCATTCGTTCCATATTCAAGTAGTATAATAATTTATTGGGCTCATAGTAAAAGGGATTGTCTGAGACATTGAGATCTGGGTTGTACATTGGCTGAGGGACAGGCCCCATTTCTCCTCCATTACTTTGTCCTTCATGCAGAGAACTGGGTTCGCCTACTCTCCCAACTGTGGGGACAGGATGGACCTGAGGAATACGACAAAAATACAGAAAAGCATAAGTCGGTGTTTATTCAAAAACCTTAAATTTGTCAGGGAACTGACGTTTACTGTCAAGACAGATATGCATTAAATTACAAACCTCTTCATGAACCGAAGCGTGGTGATTTCCATTGTTGATGTGTAAATTGTTGATTCTCTTTGATAGTGGTGTAAAGTCACGAGATTCGTCATCTCCATCACAACGGCCTCGTTTCCTGCAATGTAAAAGGTATATAAAAATCAGCGAAATACATGACTGCCATGTTTCAAAAACATTAATTCTTGTAGCTACTTTGAAAGTGGGTTGCAAAAATTTTGAAACACAATAACATTTTACCTGAACATATTTTTTAGAAGTTCTCGAGAATTCAATATGTACAACAGTTCATAAAAAGGAGAATAATGGTGATATTAAGTTAAATACTGATGAAGACGATACCAAGTCTGTCCACACGTAAACAAAGTACGGCGAGCGAGAGAGAGAAAGAGGTTAGACACCTCGCGGACAAAACTGTCTCCAAGTGGGTAATCTGAGTTGTTACTCTACACGAACTGTTGGCGTAGAAGCAACAGTACTGACGGTCGACACAAAGCCACTTTTTCTACCAGAAATCAATTTCTACAGCAAACTCCAGCACGATAATCACCTGCTTCCCAAAGATGATTGAGTCATATCGAATCCGTTCGTATCGAAAAACACTGCCGGTGCCACAAACATTCATTGGGCTTCTGTGACGACGATGCCTTGTGTTGTGACACTAGCGTCAAATGCTCCGACTCCCTTAAGTTTAAATTTGAGCCCTTCCTCGACGTGGGCAAGGCGAAATGGGGGTTGTCGAGAGGTGTCTGCTGCCCGCTCGGCTCGGCTCGGCTCGGCTCGACGGCGCAGACGTTTCTTTGTTGCAGGCAGGGGCGGGGGGCGGGAGGGGGAGGGGAGGGGCGTTCGGGATGGGTTCGGGCCGAACTCGTTTACTTCGGCTCCAGTTCCGGACGTCGTAGATTGCCAGTGTGCTTGTAGAGATATTTAGTGCCACGCTTGTCAAGGCTGAAACGCAAGTGGCTCCATCGTGCGAGAGGGTAATGCCAGGTAATGTAGGGCTGTACTCAGTACTAGAGCCGTACATTGCCCCTTCGGAGTAGGCTACCCTTCGTGACCGACCCGTGCAACCCCTATCCGCTTTCCACCCCTACTCCTGCCTCTCCTGTCCAACCCTAAAGCGCTACCCCTACCTTACCCACATTGATGCAATGTTCCCATGCCATTGATGTGGGACCTGGTTTAGACGTGTCCCGGGGTGAATATTGAGCATCGAACATTGTTTTGGACGTCTTTTTCTGCCTTGGTGTTCATTTGGGTTAGGAGAGGGTTTGAAAGGGATACGTATCGTGGTGCAATCTCGCTAGCAATCGAAGTACAGTACCAGACAGTACCCGTACTGTATACGATGACTGTACGTGGTCCATGATGAAAAAAATGAACAATTTTAAAAACACACACATAAAAAACTCCATATCGAAACCAGTCTTTATTACACACTGAAAATCAATACAAAACAAAAAAGTACACATCATCACAATACGGAACAGGGACGTCGTTGGCAGGCAGTGTGCACGTTGCTCTCATGCAGGGCGCGTGAACCAAGAGCAGTCAGCAGCCACCACCAATTTCATTTTTTTGGGGAGTGGGATAGTTGAGCTTAGTATGGCGATTGAACCATGAGATGAGTACGGACAGTCATGGGTGAACCGTTAGTTCGGAGGTTCGAGAGCGGCGGAGGTGTTACCCCGCGCGCTTCTGGAACATCACACTCACTTTAGGGTCGATCCTGACGTCGTCACTACAGTGCGGCCGTTTAGAGGAGTCGCCCGCGGAATGCTTGCGGTGCGAGTTCGAGTGCGAGACCCATTAGAGAAAGACGCGGTCGAGGCGTGTGCGTGCGTGTGCGTGCGTGTGCGCACTCGGCGGTGCGGTCACGCGTCGCCTCGATGCGGCGAGTGACGCAAGGGCGTCCTCATCCATCGCCACTCCGCGCACGCCGGCGTGCGGGCCGTGCGGGCCGCGCGCGTGACGAAACAAATGAGGGAAGCACTTTCTTTCAGTTCAGTTTATGATTGTCGTCGAGGTGGCGCGCCGCGAAGGAGCTCCGCTAGCGGAAGGCGCGGAACGCCGGACGCGTGGAGATGCGCGCGCGCTACAGTGGCGCAGGAGTCCCATCCGACTTTGGTATACAGCCTTCGAGCGTCATTGGTCGCGCAGGGGGACCGTTTTGCGTCTGCTCAGCCTTTCAGGGACCCCAGGTTGAAGCCCCCACCACCCCCACCCAGGCCTCCCTTGAGGCTGCTCAAGCTGCCCAAGCTGCCCAGGTTGAATCCGCCGCCACTGCCGCCGCCCAGGCCGCCCAGGCCACCCTTCAGGCTGTTCAGGTTGAAGCTGCTTCCTAGACTGCCCAGGTTGAAACCACCTCCTCCGCCTCCGCCGCCAAGACCACTCTTCAGGCTGTTCAAGTTGAAGCTGTTCCCCAGACTACCCAGGTTCAATCCGCCGCCGCCGCCACCGCCCCCAAGGGAGCCGAAGCTGCTCTTCAAACTGCCGAGGTTGAAGCCGCCGCCACCGCCGCCTCCCTTGCCGCCGAAGCCGCTGGTCAGACTTCCGAGGTTAAAACCGCCGCCGCTGCCGCCGCCGCCGCCCAGCGAGCCGAAACTTCTCTTCAAACTGCCGAGGTCGAAACCGCCGCCGCCGCCGCCTCCCTTGCCGCCGAAGCCGCTCGTCAGACTTCCAAGGTTGAAGCCGCCGCCGCTACCGCCGCCCCCCAGGGAGCCGAAGCTGCTCTTCAAACTGCCCAGGTTGAAGCCGCCGCCTCCTCCATTGCCGCCGAAGCCGCTGGTGAGGCTGCCCAGGTTGAAGCCACCTCCGCTGCCGCCTCCGCCGCCCCCCAGCGAGCCGAAGCTGCTCTTCAAGCTGCTGAGGTCGAAGCCACCGCCGCCACCCCCGAATCCACCTGTTCGACAGGAAAGAAAGGATGGATTAGACAGACGCTTAGTTGGTCAGAAGACCGGTGGAGGCGGCTAAAATCCTGGACGCGTTTTGAGCTCCAGCCAGAGTCGCTAAATGGGACTAGAACTCAACGTGTGACCCTACCTATGAATTGCTCTCTGAACGAGGAATCCATTGCTGGGGTCACACGTTCGGTTCGAGTCCCTTTTAGCGACTCTCTGGAGCTCCAAACGCGCCCAGATTTTTGGCGCCTCCACCGGCCCACTGTGAGACGCCTGCTAACGCCTGCCAAGTCCAGGGTAGGCCGCCCGCTCCACTCGGGAGAGCAGCGCGCTCCGGCACGGCCTACCTCCCAGGCGCTAAAGGGTCGCGCTGCCCGCCGATGTTATCCAAGAAGTTATCCAAGAAAATGTTTTCCTTCGAAGGAACAAATAGAAATGTTTTCGCGTCGGCTCAACACCGGCCGCGCGGTGCCACCGGACTCTCTGGCGTGCGGCGTGCGCACACGGGTTGAAGTCCGTGAACTGTTATCACTCGCACCATCGCCGGCGTCGCCCCGCCGACCAGACTAACTCACCTCTCCTGACTCGGTGCAGCACGGCGGGGCCCTGCTGCGCCTGCTCCGCCTCGGCCGCGGGCGCCTCGACGGGCACCAGGAGGGCAGGCTGCGCCAGCAGGGCCAGGGTCACCATCACCCCGACCAGCAGCACCTGGGACGGCAGAAAAGCGCAGCAGCGCAGCCAAGTGTCAATATTGGGCATTAGAGGGGGAAGTGAAGTGAAGTGCTCCCGGGCGCGACTTCCGCGTCGAGAGGCGCGACTTTTCGGCGAGGCGCGGCGCATTGCCGGCGACCAGGACCGTGCCTTGCTTGGCGTGGCTCGGCGTGGCTCGTCGTGGCGGGGCCCTGGCGCGCCGTGTTTCAAGCAGTTTCAAGGCCCGCGCGACTCCTCGTCCGAGTGCCGTTAATGCCGCCAAGCCAATCCACTCGGATGGATGCACGATGACAACGGTCGGGGTGTCGTCGCGCCGTCTCTCTCGCACTCCCGGGGCGCGCCGTGCTCGGCGTAGCCATGGCGTAGCAGTGCGAGAGAGACGGAGACTGCGCGGAACGGCTCTGCGGCGTAATTGGCGGAGCGAGCGGCGCGAGCGCTGCGGGATCAGAAGCGCGCGCTTCGCCGCTTCCTCGTCCATTTTTGCCATTTTGGCGCCTGGCCTAGCTTCGCCGACCTGGGTGGTGCGCCTACACTGCGACGCGCCGCAACGCGAGACAATCATGTGCGAGAATAACTTTGAATAGAAAGTCGTAAAGACTTTAGAGCTTTACGAGCGGCGACGTCCTCGGCCTCCGATGCAGCACACGCCGCGCACGCCGCGCACACCAGCGAATGACTTGTTCACGTTGCTTTTTTCGACGACGCCATTCGATGCCCTTTCCGGTGTCGTGGTCGCGAAGGCGCGAACACTTGCGTTCGGTAAGAACACGAGCAAGACCGAGCAGGAGGCGCAGCGCCGTACAGTGGGCGCACAGTGGGCCATGCCGGCGCAGGCGGCCAAACCTCAAGACTCGTTTAGAGTCGCTTTAGAGTCGCTAAATGGGACTCAAACCGAGCGTGTGACCCCACCAATGGATTGCTCTCCTAACGAGGAATCCATTGGTGGGGTCACGCGCTCGGTTCGAGTCCCATTTAGTGACTCTGGGGCCCAAAACCCGCCCGGGGTTTTGACCGCCTCCACCGGTCCTCTGGCCCACTGTGCGGCGGCGTCTGGGATGCAGCGGCACTTGGTCCTTGCAGGGCCGATTCCGAACGGTCCTCCGTCTCTCTCGCACCCCTTCGGGACGCACCATGACGTGCGAGAGAGACGGAGCGACGAAAGCACCGTTCCGAATCAAGCCGCTGGAGCAGCGCGTCGAGGAGTCTGGCGAAGAGGCGCGTGGCGCGCGTGGCGGTAGCTCTGGGCTCCAGCCAAATGAGCTCCTCAAATTCCCTCGCCATCCCCACAGCGTACGCGCGCCTCGCCTCGCCACGCGTCGCGGTACGCGACTCGGTTTCGTCCACACTTCCGCGATGGCATATAAATGGTGGCGCATTATTGTTCCTGCCTGGGACGTCCAGGTATCGGTGCAGTTGGCAGTGGACTCTCCGCAGTCAATGCATTGGCGTGCAACGGCAGGGAAAGCGACTTGAACGTTAAACGTCCAAAGCGTCCAAACGCCCACAGGCAAAAAAAAATTAAAAAGAAAACACTTTTCTAAAATGAATTTGGAGAAGTTTTTGGAAATTCTGAAAAATATTACTTTGCAAGTGAAATAACACGAAAGGCAAATAACAATTAAAATTTATGAGCGAGATAAACGCAAAAGGCAAGGGACAATAATAATTTTTGAGTGAAATAAACGCAAAAGGCAAGTGACAATGACAATTTAAAGACGCATAATTGCACAAGAGGCCACGTCGAAGTTTTGAAATTTTTGAAATGGAAAGGTTTGAACCCGTGATCTCTTCGTACGGACGAGTCTCACGCACTGCCCACGCGGCCGCATACCGCCGCGGTATTGTTCCGAAGGAGTCTTAGCTGGAGTGGTCGCGACGTCAACGGCTCGGCACGCAGGACGCCGCTGCCATGCAAAGTGTTTGTGCGTGTTACCCGGCTTTACCCTCTCCGCCACACTTGCTGCACACTCATTCCGAGAGTCGTCGCTCTGTCTCTCTCGCACCTGTGCGGGACGAGTGCGACCCGAGAGAAGAAGCGACACTCGGAACCAGTGTGCTGGTGGCGCCGATCGTCTTGGACGCCGGCTTTCTGCTTTCGGTGTCAAGGAAGCTTTCGGTGTCAAGGGACGCGGCGGCCGCGTTCGCCGTGCGGCCTTGCGGCGCCTCGCGGACCTCCTGGACCTCGCGGACCTCGCCGTCGGCTTCCCCTTTGTACTGCATCGCGGCGTACATCGCGGCGCGCATCGCGGACTCCGCGGCCAGCACCGACAAAGGTCCTTGACCTATCCAAAGATCCTCTTCGCGCATCGCACGCCACGACGCGGGGCTGTGCAGGGCGGGGCATGTCAGCCGTCTGTGTGTGTGCATGTGTGAGTGTGAGTGTGTGTGTGTAGCTCCTTCGGCGGGACGGCACACTTGCACACAGCACATAGGATCCGACCGATCACCGCGCCACCTCAAAGTCACAACCAACTAAAGCCGTCAGCCTGGCGGGGAACGCTTTAGTTGGTTGTGACTTTGAGGCAGGCTCACTCCCCGACCCTTCTGCACACACCCACACTGCCCACACGACCACCGCGACCCCGACCATCTCGGGAATTGGTCAACCTGTCGCCGCACGGGAAGTACAAGTCAAGTCTCACCCCGGATGTGGCCATGTCGTCCTGTTCCCGTGGGCGGTCCTCAGCGTGGTCCTCGGCGTGGTCCTCGACGCGGTCCTCGGCGTCCCTTGGGTTGGGCGCGCGGTGTGGGACTGAACGCGAGTGCCGCGCTGGTGGCGCTTATAAGCTGGAGGCCGCATCGCGCACCGCGCACCGCATCGCACCGCACGGACCGTAGCGTAGGTTAGGTACAGTGAGGCCGGGGTTCGAGGAGGGGGCACGCCTGCAGGCTGTGCGGGGTTCGAATATCGGCAAGGCGACCAAGAAGCCAGCTTCCGAGCCAGCTTCACCCATTGGACCAGGCAAGCGGCTGGCCCTCAGGCGGGCCTCAGGTCGCGAGGGGAGTCACAATCAAATGCACAGGGTGGCTGGCCTTGCCGACCCCGCGCACTGCCACAGCGTTTCGTCTTTCTTTCTCTCTCTCACACCCACGCGGGCCGCCCCACACCGACCAGCACGCGGAGTTAGACGGCCAGCAGCTGCAGCTCGATTCCCTGCAGGCGGACTGATTCCATGCTCTGCTTTCGTCGCTCTGTCTCTCTCGCACTCATGTGGCGTTCCGGAAGGGTGCGAGGGAGACAGAGTGACAGGCGGTGCTCGGAATCGGCCCACTGAGGGTCATGGCTGCACCCGGGGGCCACTTAGTTTCATTTTGGAGAGGAAGATCGTGCAGTTAATCAGGGCTGGGCCCTACCAGTGTGCCACTGCTTCCAGCGCTTCCAGCGTGGGACGGAAGGTCCTTCCAGGAGTCTCATTCCAGCCGGACAGGCGGAGACAACGCGACGGCCGCACTCTGTCATCCTGCCTTCCTCGCCGTCCTCGCCGTCCTCGCCGTCGTCCGCGACTGCCGTGCATTTTCCGCACCGGCCCAGCGCGACCCTGAGCCCTGCGCTACGCCAGGCCGTGCCACGCCACTCCGCGCCACGCCGCGCCGCGCCACGCCACGCCGGTGCGCCTTTTAGCGCGATGGTTCGTCCTGCACTTGTCGGTCGCGGTCTCCTCTTCCCACGCGGCCAAGGCCCGAGCGGCCCAAAGGTGCAAAGGCAAAAGGCCCGGTGGCCCAAAGCCGCCCAAAGCCCCAACGGCGACGGCTCAAAGGCTGGCCTGACCCGACGTGTCAACTCGTCAATTTCACCAATTTCACGCCTCAGCCCACCCATCAATGGCGCGCGCACGTCCTGAGAAAAAAAAGAAGCAGAAGAAGAAGATTGCATGGGAGCGGCGCCATGTCGGCAAACTGTTGCTCTGTAGAGCTGCAGCCAGCCAGCCAGCAGACTGATTCCGAGAGTCGGTTTCGTCGCTCTGTCTCTCGCGCCCATACGGACGCCCCATGACTGCGAGAGAGACAGAGCGACGAGAACGACTCTCGGAACCAGCCTGCAGTGTAGCAGCAGTGCAGTCGGCCCGCCAAATTGTTTTTACCCACTTCCGGTCAACGCGGCGGCAAACACGCCGAGCGCCGCAAAGCGACGCAAAGCGCGCCGGACGGACTTCTCGAGTCGAGATCTGCTCAAACACGAGGCGAGGAGCTCGATGGCGAGTGGAGTGTTTTGACGCTGAGGCGTTCAGATTCAAATGCCTGGGAAACCTGCCTCGGCGACAACGCTCGTATCATGCTCACAATGACGAACCATTGATGCTGGAATTAAATAGGACTCTTAGATCAATGTTCGGCCACAACAATCTAAGCCAGAATTTTTGTATGTTGCACTAACATCAAGTAAATCTCACTCTCCTTAGCACTCCCCGTGAGTGAGCGGACGACACCCGCGTAACCATTATGTGCATTCCAAATGGCGGAGGCCAGAGGGAACGGCGGCCAAAAATAGCGCCGCCATTACTACCGCTGCCGTTGTGTCGAGTATTCCAGGTGCGGTCCTGTGTGAATGGAGAACGGAGAGACGGAGGAGGGGGCACTATAGCTTCTAGGAGCCCAAGCTGAAGGACTCTAGGGGCCACTAGCCCCTTCCTCTCCACAGCCGCAACTCACGCTGCTGGCGAGTGCAATGGGTGGCCTACCCACCAGGCTTCAAGCACGCCGAGTAAAGCACACTGGCGCACAGTGGGCCAGAAGAACGGTGGAGACGGCCAAAACTCTAGAAGCGTTTTGAGCCCCAGAGTCGCTGAATGGGACTCGAACCGAACGTGTGACCGCACCAATGGACTCCTCGTTCGGAGAGCAATCCATTGGTGGGGTCACACGTTCGGTTCGAGTCCCATTTAGTGACTCTGAGGTTCAAAACGCGTCCGAGATTTTGACCGCGTGATGTGATGTGATGGTGTTGTTGTAGGTGGTTGTGTTTGTGGGGAGGGCGGGGGTAACAAACGCGCAAGGATTCCTCGACTCAAGGTATTTATTGGGTTGGACCCTGGTTGACGGGTGCGCTGGCTCGTCACTGAGTGCTCCCGTGGGGTACCGTGGGGTGCCCCTGTTGGTGGTCCTGGCGGCCGAGCGGCTCATCCGTAGTAGGGGCTGGCGGGCACGCCGGGCACCGCGGCCACGCCGTGGTGCGGGGACGGCACTCCGGCCACGCCCGGGTGCACCGCGGGCACGGCCCCGGCCAGCGGCACGCCGAGGGGCGCGGCCGCGGCGCCGGCCGTCCTGGCGTACGCCGCGTACGGGTTGTAGGCGGCCGCGGCGGGGTTCACGCCGTACGGGTTGTAGGCGGCAGCGGCGGCAGGGTTGGCGCCGTAGGCGTAGGGGTTGGCGGCGTAAGGGTTGGCGGCATAGGGGTTGGCAGCGTAGGGGTTGTGGGCAGCGTAGGGGTTGACCGCGGCGTAGGGGTTGACCGCGGCGCCGGTGTAGGGGTTAACTCCCGCGGGGCTGACTCCGTACGGCGTCACTGCCGCGGGGTTTACTCCGTAGGGGTTGTAGGCGGCGGTGTAGGGGTTGTAGGCGTTGGCGGCGTAGGGGTTGGCGGGCCAGGCACCGCCCGCGGCTCCGGCGGCAGCGGCGGCGGCGGCAGCGGCGGGGTAGGCTGCGGCACGCAGTGCGGGGTACACTTTGAAAAGGCGGTTGGGCGCGGTGCCCTGCGGCGCCCTGGCACCGCTCCCGGCGAGGCGCACCTGCGCGCACCTGGCCGACGGCGCGGACGGCGCTTACCTGAGTGCTTCTTGGGACGCTCCAAGGACCCCGACGACGCGCCGCTTCCGCTGCTGTCCTGCTCGTTGGCGGCGGCGAGCACGGCGCACGCCACCAGCACGGCCGCCAGCACCTGCCGGGGAGACAGCGCCTCAGTGACACCAACGGTTCAGAGCAGAGCGGCAAAGCCCCGGCGACGTCCCGGGCGGCACTCACCACGGTCTTCATGGGCACCATTGTGAGGGAGGGTTGTGCTGGGAGCGGCTCCAGGCGACTAAGTGCCTTCCCCAGACGGCGCCCGGCTTTTATACGGATCGCGGGATGGCCGCAGTGCGGAGTGCCATTCGGGAAAAAATGAAGCGATTATCTAGGTGGGCCATATTGCAAGAGGAGCCCGCCGCCAAAGGGAGAAGGGAGGGAGGGGCAGCTAGGGCGCTGCTGCAGTGGCGGGGCGGCGGCCCGGCCCAGGCCGTCCAGGCCGTCCAGGCCCTTGGCGCGGCTGCGCCATGGCTACGCGGCCGCATCGCATTTCGCGGGTGGCGTGGACCAACTAAACGTGTCGACGTGCCCGAAGTGACCTCCACAGCCAGGGCCTCCAGCAAGTCGTCGGTAAGCGCGCCGCCGCGCTCCTGGACGGGCATGCTGTGCCTGTCGTGGTCGTGGACTCCGCGAGTGTGTTGACGGGCTGCCCGCCGCACGGCTCCTGGCAGGGACCTCGGATGCCGCGCGTGTCTGGGACTCGAGTGTGTGTTGACGGGCTCACCGACGCGCCGGCGGTGTCCACGGCCTGCTTCACGACGGTCCCCGCGGTCGATAAGTATCGCGGCGAAATTCGACAGCCACGCTACGCCACGTCGCGATGCTGCGACATCGATAGCGCAAGGACTCCGTTTTCTTTCATCCCGTCCGTCCGTCCGTCTGTCCGTCCGTCGGTCGTCGTCCGTCTCGTCTACGGAGCCGAGCCGAGTCTCGCCGGTCTTGACGTAACGCAACGCGGCGCGCGCGGCGTCGGTGGCGGAGCGCGGGGCGCGGAGCAACGCGTTGTGGGGGCGTGCCTTTGACCCCCGCAGCCCCGCACTCCGTCCGAGGAAACCCGTCCGAGTCTCTTCATTAAGGACGCCGCCGGACGGACGGTGGCGACTGGTGGCGCCGCGCGCCGCGACGCCGACACCGACGCCATGGCGACGGCGACGCTTCGCTTCGTCCTCGCCACCAGCGACAAGGCAAAGTGTTGCCCTCGGCCGCATGGCTTCCGCGTCGCGACCTTCTGCCGCCGGCCCTGCCCGACCTAACCCTAACCTAACCTTAGCCAACTTTCCTAACTTTACCTAACGCCCGTCCGGACCGCCCTCGGGCGGCAGGGCAGAGGTAGTCGTAGTAGTCGGCGAGCCAGCTCACGCCCTGCTCTCGCACCAACATGGGGCGCTCCATGAGTGTGAGAGAGACAGAGCGATGAAAACCTTTTGGAATCAGTCTACAGAGGCAGGGATAGGCGGGGAAGTCCACGGTCTTGGGACGCCACTTTGAGGCGCCCCGCCTGCGTTCGAGGCTCGGCCGAGCGATTCCGCAGTGTTTCGTCGCCCTATCTCTCTCGCGCCCTCCGCGGAAAGCCCGGGAACGCCCCACGAGTGCGAGAGAGACACTTCCTGCAGGTCTACAGGTGTCCGCGGGGATGTGTCACGAGAAGCGGCATAAGTCGGACGCACGCGCACGACCGGACCATTAAGCCACACGGAACGCGAGCACATGAGTGTGTGTTGGTGAGGAACACGTGTGAATGTCGGTGCAGGCACGGTGTTTCACGGTGTGCGGTGAGAGAGGGGGAAGGCGGGGGGACGCGCAGTTCTCATCTGTGCCGCAGCGCAGCGCAGTGTAGTAGCTTCGCAGTAAGCATCCACACCGTCGCGCTGGTGAGAACGAGCCGCGTCGGCGAGCTCTCTTTATTTCCTTTCTTTGGGCCCCGCGTGACGGAGATTCAAGGGACGGCAATCCTCCGAGGGAAGCCCCACGCATCGACGCGCGGCTGATGCGTTCTTGTTCTTGCTCGTGATTCTTGAACTTCTCTCGCCCTTATCGGCCGCTTATCACTTTCAGGTACGAAACGCACACGCGCGGCGCTTGAAACGCGTCGGGTGCCGAACCCGATAAACCAGGCTGGCGTCAGTCTGGCGTCAGTCTAGCGCGAAGCACTCCCACGCCGAGCGACGCCGAGCGTGGCGACGCGAGCTAATTCGCCGCGCAACTTCCCCCGGAACTATTCCGCCCGCCCTCCTCCGCCCCCGCACCACCCGCACCGCACGCACCGCGACGCCGCGCCGGCGCCGCAAAAACTGCCCGCAAACTTTGTCAGTCAGTTTACCCGCGCTTCTTTCTAGGGCCTTCAAGTCAGCTGTTTGCGCTGACGGTTTAGCTCTGACGTGATGCGAGCGCGCGCTTACGCCCCCTCGCCCCTCCCGCTCCACACGTGACCCTCCACGCTCGGATCGGAGACTAGACGATGACGCAAGGCCGCGGCCGCTAGCCTCAGCTGGTAGCAGACGACGCGGACGCGGACGGGCTGACAGCGGCGCGGCTTCGAGGCGCGCCCCTGCAGTGTTTTCGCTGTTTTCGCCCCTTCCAGGACACCGAGTCCTGCACGACGTCCTCGCCTTCCAGGCCCCAAAGTGCCAGCCGCTGTCCTGCTCGGCGGGAGCCGAATGACAATTGAATGGAGTTCGTGTTGGGCGCCTGTGCTTCGGTCGGTGCAGGGATCTTCAGCAACCCCCTCGATGTCCTCAAGACCAAGGCGCAGCTCCAGGGGGAGCTGCGCGCTCGGGGGCAGTACTCGGTGCACTACAAGAACATGGTCCATGCCGCCTACATGATCACCAAGGAAGAGGGGATCTTCGCCCTGCAGGTGAGCCAGCTCTGGGGCCCCTTAACCTTAAAGTGGGGTGAACGGCGGCTCCTATGATAATGCATATTTCTTCTTCAAACAACAGGACTAATGTCGGATGGAGAGAACTATCTTCCTACTTTACACCCAAAACGTTTTCAGAAACCCCTGCTCTTGTCATGCTCTCTGTTGTTGCTTATTCGGTGACATTGCAGCAGTGGTTTTATCATATCGGGCTTTCTTCTGTTTTAGAAAGGATTGGCCCCAGCGCTTTTGCACCAAGTCGGCCTGAATGGAACAAGGCTTGGACTGTTTCAATTGGCCCAGGATGCTGGACTCAACCGCAATGAGGATGGGTCATTGTCCGCCGTGAGAACAATGTTAATAAGTGCCTGTGCAGGCTCTCTTGGTGCTTTCTTCGGAAGTCCTTTCTTTTTGGTAATTTGATTAAGATTAATCGAAGTATCTGCAGTGTAAACATTATCAAAGGAATACAACTTTGATCTCTTCTCTTAGGTTAAAACTCAAATACAATCACAAGCTCCTGTTGCCATAGCCAAAGGTTCAAACGTTGTCCTTGGTGTTCAACATCAGCATAAAGGCATGATCCACGCCTTTTCTACTATTCTTCAGAAGAGAGGTCCTCTAGGGGTGTTTGATGGAGCCTCAGGAGCTGTTTTGCGAGTTGCTGTGGGTTCAACTGCCCAGTTGTCAACTTTTAGTTACAGCATGGAGTATATTGAAAATAATCAGGTCGGTTTGAATATCATAAATGGTTTACTCTTTGTCTTGTGATAGTTTTACCTTACGGTTACTTGTCTCATTTTGTTGCAGTTCTTTAGTGAAGATGCTGTGTGGTCGAAAGCTTTTGCCTCTAGCATGCTTGTTGGCGTGGTAACTGCTTTAACCATGACACCATTTGATACTGTATCTACTCGCCTCTTCAATCAAAGTAAGCTCGAGAACCCCTCCTTATTATTTAATTGACTTTGTCACCATGGCACAATTCAAACTCACTGTCTTGGTGAATATTTTCAGCCCGAGATGCTTCAGGACGAGGCTTGTTGTATAGTGGAATTTTTGACTGCTTTGCAAAGACACTGAAAGCAGAAGGTGTGCGAGGGTTGTACAAAGGTTTGATTCCTGTGTACTCCAGAATCGCTCCTCATTCCATGCTCAATCTCATGTTTTGGGAGAAGCTTAAGTACCTGCATCAGAAATTCATAGACCAGCCAACTTAGGTTTTACTCCTGAACGTTTCTCAATTTTATCATGCTGGAGTAATGAGAGCCATTTTATTATTGACTGCTAAATTAACACTCTCCTGTATACTTTTATTGGTGCCATCATTTACAGTATTTTCACAAATTTGAGAAATCCCATTGAAACTAAACACTATGAATTGTTATTTTATAAAAGTATATTGTGGTTTCCTTGATGTTCCTGTTCAGAGCAATGTCTGTTGATTTGTTGAATGACGGTGTATTACATCATCTCTGTAAGATAAGACTTTAATGTACTGTAGTGTATAAGCTGTTGTAACTGGAAAGACAAAGACATTACAGACCAAACCTAATGTAACTAGTAATATGATGATTGTGAGGGATGATATTACAAAGCCAAAAAGGTGGAGCTTCACTCTTCTGTAAGCAATGTAGCCTCTCTATAGTGCTCACAATATTTAATGTGGTTCATTCTCTACCAAACAAACAGTACTAAAAAGTATTTTGTTACTTTAGATCATTTTTACACGGAGTGTGATTTGTAGCTTGAAGCTCTCCTAACGAATTTAGTCAAACTGTTGCCAAAAGATGCGCCAAACAAAGGGCTAAAGTAGTTATAAAAGCTGTTATTGCATAAATTTTCTTGAAATGTGCCTTATTTTAATTGAACATTCCTCTGAAATTGTTAAACTTGCTTTCATTACTCCTTTTTCGAATGTCTTCCTTGTGGGAATGTTGTTCACCTGTAATCTCGTCCTAGCTGTTCGAGAGCTTTGTGCAAGATTTAGATTGCGGCAATTATTTTTCCATCATAAATTTTGTGATACACATCAATTTGCTTTTCTTGTTAAAGTGTTGTTATTTATTGTTTATATATTTTATTTGTTCAGAAGATGTTTTATAAATTGTGGTCTATAGAGTGTTTTTGAGTGTTGTTGTGCTTAAGCCACTTGGAGGAATTCAGGGTAATAAGATTCCAACTATTGTTTCGGTGTACTTGATGCACTTTTATTTTAATATTTTGGAGGCAACAATTGTTTTATAAGAACACATTTCTTGTTATTCTCATGATAGTGCTCATAGTATTTCCTAGTCAGAGTGAAACACAAATAAAAAATATTTTTGGAGGTCAGTATATAATTTTTTCTCTGGGCGAAACCCCTTTCATCCCTTCACCCAAGATCTTTATGACATGTACTGTGTGTTTACTATTTCTTTAAAAATCGGAATTGAATGGGTACTACTTTTCTTTCATTGAACACACAAGTTAATTTATTTCACCAGAAAAAAAATAAAAAGTAGACCGATTTGCATTACACTGTGTGAACTGGTATCAATCAAACTAAAGCATGCCTACATAAGAGCAGTAAAAAAAGTTGTGTTAAAGAAGAAATATTACCGTATAGTTGTAGCTACAACATTTTTACACTTCCTTACCTAAATCACAGCTTCTACAAGTGGTACTGAGTGGGTTGCATTATTTCATGAAGCTTATATCAAGTGTCAGTAAGTTTTCAGGTACTAAAGTCACATTAACACTTATTGCCGTATGAAGAGAGAAGCTTCTGGAGGTTTTGACTACTTTTTATTTCATTATGGTAGTGACTCATTGAATGCTTGATTCCTAGCACAGAAAGAATTAACTTAAGAAAAGAAGCCTGTGTCTTAAGTACTCACAACTACAGTGTTATTTTAACTATTAAAATCATAATACAAAAAGAGCAAGACACTTCCTTGCATTTTGTTTAAGTACAGTAAAACCATATGTTTCTCCATTGCCTTTACCAAAAAAGAAAATCTGTCTATTACAGTGGAAGCAACTTGTGACTTTCTTAGTCACTGTAATACGAATCCTTCATAAAATCTTTTCTAGGAAATTTTAAAATAATTATTGACACAACCTCACGCCTAACGCTCCCTCACAGACACCATACACTCTGCTTGAAAGCAACTAGTGATTCATAGTTATAATGAGACACCAGAAACAGGGAGGAATACACACAAAATTTCTTTGGCTTAAAGTACTTATCTTTGTAGAAAAATGCATTACGTATAATTAAGACTCTACATTTTTCTGTCTAATTTATAAAAATACTCCTTGAAATATGTACAAATTACTCTTTCATGTGGAAAGAAAGCAAGCAAGTTGGTGGCTCTAGAGTGACATCTGGATTTGCTGAGTGAATGTAAATAAATGAAATGCCTCATAGCTCAGAATGAGGAAATGAAAGACACCATTTGCGGTTCAACTTTCCAACCCTTGAACTGCTCTTGTAAAAGATGTCAAAACTAGGAAAATTTAGAGAAACATCTGGCGCAAGTAACCAAGAAAAAAAAATGAGAAGGTATTGGGTTATTGCTGAGCGAAGCGAAGCACCCTGTTTGGGATATTGAATAGCTCATTTGTCCGACCCCCCCCCGATACCTTTAGTTTACAAGAGGTATCTTCCTCTGTTTATTTTTACTATATTCATATGCGTATACAAAGTCCAAGCTCCATAGTCCAAGCTCCATAGTCCAAGCTCTATAGTCCAAGCTCTATAGTCCAAGCTCTATAGCCCAAGCTCTATAGCCCAAGCTCCATAGTCCAAGCTCCATAGTCTAAGCTCCATAGTCCATATTCTATAGTCCAAGCTCAATAGTCCAAGCTCCATAGTCGTACGCCAAGCTGCCATTTAGTTTGAGGATAAGATCTGTCGAGAGTAGGGTAAGATCTGTCACGAGTAGAGTAAGATCTGTCACTTGCCCGTTAGGTTAGGTTAGGATTGGTTGGAACATTTAGTTTGAGAATAAGATCGGTCGAGAGTAGGGAAAGATCTGTCACGATTAGAGAAAGATCTGTCACGAGCCCGTTAGGTTAGGTTAGGTTAGGATTGGTTGGACCATTTAGTTTGAGAATAAGATCTGTCGAGAGTAGGGTAAGATCTGTCACGAGTAGAGTAAGATCTGTCACGTGCCCGTTAGGTTAGGTTAGGATTGGTTGGAACATTTAGTTTGAGAATAAGATCGGTCGAGAGTAGGGAAAGATTTGTCACGAGTAGAGAAAGATCTGTCACGAGCCCGTTAGGTTAGGATTGGTTGGACCATTTAGTTTGAGAATAAGATCGGTCGAGAGTAGGGAAAGATCTGTCACGAGTAGAGAAAGATCCGTCACGAGCCCGTTAGGTTAGGTTAGGTTTGGTTGGACCATTTAGTTTGAGAATAAAATCTGTCGAGAGTAGGGTAAGATCTGTCACGAGTAGAGTAAGATCTGTCACGAGCCCGTTGGGTTAGGTTAGGATTGGTTGGAACATTTAGTTTTAGCCTTCCGTCGATTCAAGGAGAAACCAACCTTGCCGAATCACAATCCTTTGCGCAAAAGCATACTTCCTGGCTATCCCCCCCCCCCCCCCCCCCAAAAAAAAAAAAAAAAAAAAAAAGAAAAGAAAAGAGGTTCATTTTCAAAATAAACACATCCAAATTTACTACTGATGAAAATGCATTTCCATCTCCACCAGAATCCAGCTCAGCATCGAGGCCGAAGGCCTTCCCCTGGCTAGTTAAAAGCTTCTGAGGGTATGTGTGATGTGCAGGTGTGTGTGTATGCAGGTTCCTTCCTCATCCCAAGTCGGTAGTTGTGTCAAAATCGTGCCTGCGGAACACCAGACGCGGATGTGTCTCCATCATTCTCGAATTTTCCCGCCGCCAATGTTCAGACTTTGGACTTCCCCCGGGGCTCGCGGCCCTCGGCCTTGCCCTCGGCCTTGCCCGCGGCCCGCGGCCTCACCACACGGAGCACTTGTCCGACGGGTTCATCGGGGAGCCCAGCGGGCAGGCGAAGGCCTCCGCGAAGTCGTCCGAGTTGGAGAGCGGGCCCAGCACGCGGATGGGGCCGGGCGGGTGCACGGAGGAGCGCACCTTGCTGAGGGCGTCCTCGGGCCGCATGGAGCCGCACCAGATCTGGGCGTAGTTGAGGAAGAAGAGCTGGTTGTGCGTCAGGTTGATGCCCGGCAGCCGCGGCTCCTCGCCGTGCTTGGCGACCCACTTCCGGTACGCCTGCAACCGGAAGGGGAAGCAACCCGGAGGTCTCAGCGGAAGGCGCGAAGCTTGGTCGTCTGTGCGCCCTCAGCCCGCGGGCAGGCAACCCACCCTTCGGCAGGGTCGACATGAGCCCCATCCCGATTGAGCCCGGATGACCTGAGCCCCGGCCAGAGCCCCGTTTGAGCCCGACTTGAGCCCCGACTCGAGCCCCGACTGAGCCCCGATGGCCAGAGCCCCGACCTGAGCCCGGTTCGAGCCCCGACCTGAGCCCCGTTTGAGCCCCGCTTGAGCCCCACGCCAAAAAAATTCCATTTTGAACTTTTTAGTGAAGATATTGCAACTTTTTGGCGCGGGGCTCAAATGGGGCTCAAACGGGGCTCAGGTCGGGGCTCAAAACGGGCTCAGGTCGGGGCTCTGGCCATCGGGGCTCAGTCGGGGCTCAAGTCGGGGCTCGAGTCGGGCTCGGCCGGGGCTCTGCCGGGGCTCAGGTCATCGGGGCTCAATCGGGACGGGGCTCATGTCGACCCTGCCCACCCTTCTTCCGCGCTGCCGAGTAGCTTGCGCGTTGGGTGGGTTGCCTGCCCGCGGGCGGTGGACGCCGCACCCCGTTGCAACGCGTTGCCGCGGTACGGCCCTCCACTCCACTCTGCAGACCGGCGTTCAAATCCCCGCATCGTTCGCCTTTCGAGCCTGTCTGTTGTAAAGGTCCCTGCAGACTGATTCAGAGAGTCGCTTTCGTCGCTCTGTCTCTCTCGCACTCATGGGGCATCCCGCGCAGGTACGACAGAGACAGCGACGGGAAAGACTCTCGGAGTCAGTCTACTGGTCGTGGTGGTCGTGGTACCCACCCGGAACGACTGCTTGAGGCCGCCGTTGTCGGCGATGTTCTCGCCCTGCGTCATGCGGCCGTTGATGTACGACGTGATGTTGGGCAGCTTGTAGCGGCTGTACTGCTCCACGATGCACTGCGCGCGGTCCCGGAACGCCCGCACCGTCGCGTTGTTCCACCACTGCATCATGTTGCCGTCTTTGTCGAACTGCCGCCCTGCAAGCGCATTCGGATTCGAATTGCCGTTCGGAGAGGAATGACAACGCCCCACGCTCAGAGGGCCAGGAGACCGGTGGGGGCGGTCGAAATTCCGGACGTAATTTTAGCTCCAGAGTCGCTAAACAGGACTCAAACCGCACGTGTGACCCCACCAATCTCCGGACGAGAAATCCATTGGTGGGGTCACAGGCTCGGTTCGAGTCCTGTTTAGCGACTCTGGAGCTCAAAACGCGTCTCGAGTTTTGCTCGCCTGCGCCGATCTTCTGGCCCACTGTGCCGTGGGAGTCCTGCAATGTTTGTTGACCGCGATGGACTCCTCACCCTTGTCGTCGAAGCCGTGGGTGATCTCATGGCCGATGACGACCCCGATGCCACCGTAGTTGAGGGACTTGGGGAAGTGCTTGGAGTAGAACAGAGGCTGCAGGATTCCAGCGGGGAACACTGCGCGAAGAGATGCACACATGCAACGACGCCAAACGACGCGAAATAGCCTGATCAGCAGACTCATTCCGAGGGTAGTTTTCATCGCTCTGTCTCTCTCGCACCTATACGCGACGCTCAAGAGCGCGAGAGAGACAGAGCGGCGAAAACGGACTCTCGGCATCAGTCTGCAGACGGGCCCACTCACTGATGTCGTTCTTGTTGGGGTTGTAGAAGGCGTTGACCACGACGGGCTCCGTGGACCACTTGTCCCTGTTGACGGGCTGCCGCAGGTTCTGCAGGTTGTGGTGCGCCTCGTACCGCAGCACGTTCAGGATGTTGACGAGGAACTGCCCGGCCGACACATTGAGCTGCAGAAAGAAAGGAACGGGCCAATCAGACGCGGCCTCTGCGCTCGTGGGGCGTTCCGTCCGTAGGGGCGCGAGAGAGCCAGAGCGGCCAGCCTCCCTTGTACACTGCAAATCGAATGGAAAGACTTCGCGCCAAAACTTGGCTCTGGAGTGGCGAGAAGTCTGACAGGTTTTTGGATTTGCAGTGTGCGACACGCACCATTTTGTACTCCAGGTTGAGCTCCTCGGGGTTGGTCAGCATGTCCGGGTAGCCGATTCGCTCGTTCATGGCGTTGGCCTTCTCCCTGGCCACGGCGCGCGTCTCGTCGTCCATCCACACGTTCTCGGCCAGCAGCTCGTTGAAGGCGCCGCGGATGTTGTGGATCATCTCGAGCGCCGTCTCCTTGCTCTCGTGGTTGAAGTTCTCGCGGATGAAGAGCGCGCCCACGGCCATGCCCAGCTTCTTGTTGGTCAGCTCCACGCACTGCGCCCAGCGCGAGCGCTCCGACAGGATGCCGTGCAGCACGCGCCGGAACTCGACGCGCTTCTGCTGGTACTCGTCGATCATGTGCGGGATGACGGTCATGAGCAGCCGCCAGAGCACGTAGTTGTGCACCACCCTGCAGCACCCCGCCTCACAGTGGATTTGCCAGAAGGCCGGAGGCGGCCAAAACCCCAGACGCGTTTTGAGCTCCAGAGTCACTACACAGGACTTGAACCGGACGTGCGACCCCACCAATGGGTTCCTCGTTCGGAGAGCAATCCATTGGTGGGGTCACACGTTCGGTTCGAGTCCTGCTTAGCGACTCAGGAGCTCAAAACACGTCCGGAATTTTGACCGCCTCCACCGGTCTTCTGGCCCATTGAGCACGAGTAGGTGAAAATTATCACAATGCACCAGTGTCGAAGGGGTTGGCAACCTCAGCCTGCCTACAAGGCGCATTCTGGGTTCTCCTCTGCCAGGTAGGCACGCTGAGGTTGGCAACCCTTCCACTACTGGCGCGTCGCGGGACTACTTTCCGCCACCTAATGTGGCCACACTGTCGAGGACTTCCCTCCAGCACAACGCGAATCGGACGATGAACACGCAGACGGGCGCCTCACCTCCGGTCCGTCTTGACGAGGATCTTGCCCATGGCGCGGAAGTAGGGCAGGCCGTAGCAGACGACGGGCTCGTCCATGGAGATGTTGGTCTTGAGCACCGTCTTGAGGAACAGCTGCCAGTCCAGCTCGGGCACGTCCTGCTGCAGGCGCCACAGCGGCAGCTGCTGGTAGTTGACGGACGTGTCGTGGCGGTCCGCCTCGGGCAGCGAGGCCTGCAAGCAGCGCAAGCAGAGGCGCCCAGTGAGCGATCTTTTCGCGCGAGCTCATCGGCGCCGTCCTCGGGGTGCCTCACCTCGGCCAGCTTCTTCTCGAAGTTGATGACGTCCGTCATGTCCGAGGCGGCCGAGGCCTTGTCCGCCCCCATCAGGATGGCCACCTCCGTCATGTAGCGGTGGTACGCCTTGAGCTCCGTCTCGGTGGGCGACTTGATGTAGTAGTCGCGCGAGGGCAGCGCCAGCTGCAGCTGGTCCAGCTGCCGGCAAAGAACAGGGCGAGTCAGGGTGCATCACAATGGGCCAGAAGACCGGTGGAGGCGGCCGAAACCCTAGACGCGTTTTGAGCTCTAGAGTCGCTAAACGAGACTCAACTCGAGCGTGTGACCCTACCAATGGATTCTTCGTTCTGAGAGTAATCCATTAGTGGGGTCAATCGTTCGGTTCGGGGCCTTAGGGACTCTGGAGTTCAAAACACGTCCGGGATTTGGACCGCCTCCACCGGTCCTCTGGCGACTCGCACTGCGGAGCTACGCAGAGGACCGGTTTTTCTCTCTGCCTCCCTCCAGGTCGCTCTCGCACCCTTAAGGAGAGCGCCATGAGTGCGACAGAGACAGAGCGGCGAACCGCTCGGCCGGCCGGACGCGGCGCGATTCGACGCGGCGCCTCACCTGGAGGATGTTGACGGAGGAGTTCTTGTCGTCCGGGCCGACCCACTGCTGGAACAGCACGCCCTCGCTCAGCTCGCGCAGGCGGCCCAGCAGCACTTCCAGCGGGTAGTCCGGCGCGCGCCAGCCCGGCGTGGTGACGGGCCAGTCGCCCAGCGCGCGGAGCACGTCCTTGAGGGGGGTGTCGCCCACCCTGCGGATCATGTCTGCACAAAGGGAAGGCGGTTCAAATCCTCTCAACAGGGCAAAAGGGGGACGAGAACGACACAGGAAAATATGGACGTTTATTTTAATTTGTTTTGGGAGAAGTTGCTGTGTTGACAGAGTAAGGCTTCATTTTAGGGTGGCGATGTGGTGGGTACAATCCATTCCCCCTCCCCCCCAAAAAAAGTCCGAGGATCTGCCCTTGACCGACAGACCTGCACCAATACTCACTCAGGTCCATGCAAGACTTGTAGAAGATCTTGGCCTTCCTCGTGGCGTTGGAGTCGTTCTCGTTGACGTCCTCGTCGAGAATGCCTGCGGCCGAAAACATAAAAAGAAAGGCTTTCGCGTGATAAAACTAAACGGTCCGCCGTTTGCAGTGTGATGGCCGTGATGGCTGTCTTGGCCTTGCCTTTCAGGATGTGGTTGAGCTGCTCGGCGAGGACCTCGAACGTGCTGATGGAGGACCTGTCCTCGGGGATCATGTGGCGTTTGTTCCAGGCGCCGCACGCGTACTGGAAGAAGTCCTGGCAGGGCGACGCCGTGCGGTCCATGGCGGAGAGCAGGGACGCGGCTGCAACCGGCGTGTCGAAAGTCTTAATGTGTTCGTGGCTCGAGAGCCGCCAAACAGGACTCGAACCGAACGTGTGACCCCACCAATGGATTCCTCGTTCGGAGAGCTATCCATTGGTGGGGTCACACGTTCGGTTCGAGTCCCATTTAGCGACTCTGGATCTCAAAACGCGCCCGGGATTTTGACCGCCTCCACCGCTCTTCTGGCCCACCAGCCCAGAGATTGGACCTGAAAGAAACACAGGTGGGCACCGCACTCGGCACACACGGCGCACGGCGCAGTGAGAGTTGGGGAGTAACTTGGAGCGGCCCCGGCCCGGCCCGGCCAGCTCCACCCCGCCCTGCCGCCCCGCCGCCCTGCCCCGCTCGTCGAAACCAAAGTCACACTTCTTTTCTGGCGGAGGGAATAAAATAATAACACGGACACGCTTTTCCACTCAGCGCGCGGCACGGCGCGGCACGGCGCGGCACGGCGCGGCCCACCGCCCAGCGACACGCGACCCGACTCGCGGACACGGTGCACAACTTTATCCGTTGTTCACCTCTGGAGGGGCGGGGTTGGGGGCGGCCGGGGGCGGCGCGTCCAAGCCGTCAACCGCACGGTAGACTCCTGCCCCAGCGTCCTGGCGGGAAGGGGAAGGGAAGGGGAATGTAGGTTCAAGCTATTTTTACGCGCTTTGTCCGTGGCCGGGTCTGGTCCAGGGGGCTCGGGATTGCCTCGGCTTTTTGGAGGCTTCGACGCCGCCGCGCCGTCTCCAACATCTCCACCGTCGCGGGCTGACCGCGACAACCAGGACGACGACGGCAAGACGGAGAGGGCGACCTTGAGCAGGAGCGCGAAGCTCACCGCGAAATTCGCCAATGCTCCGAAAATGGCGACGCCGGTGACTGCTTCTGCTCCGCGCGGGGCGGCGCAAATTGAGCACCCTGACGGCAGCCCGCGGCGCGGTGGCGCGGCGCGGCGTGGCGGGGCGGGGCGTGGTGGGGCGGGGCGGGGCGTGGCGTGGCGTGGCGTGGCGTGGCGTGGCGTGGCGGGGCGGGGCGGGGCAGGGTGGTGTTCCCTGATGCTGCTGGTAAGTAAGAAGCAAGCGAGGCCATTACGGCACGCAACGGGCTGGAAGCTAATTTCATGTCGCCGCTTCCACCTACCCCACCCCGCCTCACCCCGCCCCGCCTCACCCCGCCCCGCCCCTTCCCGGGGCTCCTCACCGGCGGCAAAACACAATCCCCCGCCTCGACAACCTCCGCACCTCATTCTCATTTCGAGCGCGCTGCAGCAGCGCGTCCTGTCGAGCGATTTCGAGGGATCGCTCGGTCTCTGTCTCGCACTCGTGTGGCGCTCCCTTGCGTGCGCGAGAGAGGCAGAGCGTCGAAAAGGCTCTCCCTCCCTCGATACACTGCACTGCAGTGGCGGCATCGTGTTGGCAAAACAGCGCCAGAGCCTCGGCCGAACGGCGACAAACTGCCGGGTGGCGTTATCTTAATGCGGTTTTAAGGGACGCCCGTGCCGCGCGCCGCGCAGCGGTTACCTCGTTACCCCCGCCCCGCCCCGCCCCGCAGGCCAGAAACCTCAGCGCAGAAACCGATCCGGCGGCGCGCAGCGCGCAGCGTCACGACAACGGGGGGCGGGGAGTCACGCCCCACGAAAGAACACGGCGTCGTCAACGTTGCCTACTCCGACTTTTAGGGGCGATTTTCGCCGCTGTCGCTTCGCCGCTTCGCCTCGCCTCGCCTCGCCGCCGCCGCCCCGCTCCGGCCGTTACACCGCATCCAGGACTACACCGGCTCCTGTCTGCGCGCCGCCATGGCGCCGCGGCGCGGGGACGGGCGGGCACTAAATATTTTACGGCGCACCACCAGGCCGTCCGTCGTCCGTCCCGTAGTCCCGTAGTCCCGTAGTCCCGTAGTCCCGCAGTCCCGTAGTCCCGGTCCCCTACGCGCGCTCCGTCGTCCAGGACGCGAACGCGGACGCCATTCGGGGGCGGGAGGGGGAGGGGGGGGGGGGGGCGCGGCGAGGTATACACCGAATAGCGCGACACGGTACCGGCGAGATGGGTGAGAAATAAGAATAAGTTTTCCTCCCCGCCGCCTGACTTGCAGGCCTCACAGTGCACGGACTGCTTCGAAGGCGCATCCGAGAGCACTCGGTTATTGAAGTCGGGCACGCGGTTCGGAAATAAAAGAAAGGCGGCAACCGTGTCTGCTTGACGGAAGCAGTGTTGTCTGCGTTGCGTCTCGGCGGGGTTGCACAGAAGGCAGCAAATCGCAGTGTACCAGTCGAGCTATGCCGCTACCGGCTATGAGAGCGAGACTGGAGCGAGAGAGACACAGAGCTCGACTGGTACACTGCGATGTGCTGCGCGGTGGGAGTTTCTCAGTTTGAGGCGCCGAGGACGGGCGCGCCAGGGCCGCGCTGCGGCAACAGGTGGCGAGATGTGTGACTGCTCGGAGAGCTCGGCCAACAAGTGACCGGTGCTGCTAGTACTGCTTTCGTTGTATTTGGAGCGAGAGAGATAATCACAAGGGTTGCCTACACTGTCCTTCAGGGGGGCTCGGAAAGTTAGCGCCTTTCGGCACTTGCCCTAGGTACTGTGACGCCTTTGAGCGCCGCCTTGGGCGCCAAGTTTCGAGACGGTCCAGCCCTCTGGCCCGATCCCACTGGGTCCCTTTGGAGGCAGTACAAGGTATTTTGCTGTCCATACATCTCTGTGCATGCAATGCATAGGAAATGCATGGCAGCATAGGCACCAGTGCATTGGCAAGATGCTTAGTGGCCAAACAGCTTTGGCCTGGGCAGCAACACGAGCTTCGTTTATCCAGTTAGGCGCCTCAAAGTGAGGCGCATTTAGACGCCCGGCGAGGCACCTTAAAACCTAGGGCAAGCGCCTAAAGGTGCACCCGAATGACAGTGTACCGACTGTGGAACACGCGGCTCGCTGTGCATCCCCGGACCATCCCGGCGCATCCAGGGACGTCCCTGCCCCCTTGACCCCTGACTTGGACCTAGCACACCGCAGAGGCGGCAGCCGCGGCAGCAGGATACGACGTTACGACCGCCACAGGTCCTGAGCTTGAATGATGCATGCAGAGGAAGGGAGAGAGGCCCCTGCAGGACAGGGCCGGGACAAACCCAGGACAAGCCCAGGATAAGTCCAAGACAGGACCAGGACAAGCTCAGGACAAGCCCAGGACAAGCCCCGAGCCCAGGACAAGCCCAAGACCGCCAGGCAGGACTAGGGCGACGAGGATCCGAGACATCCAGACGTCGACACGAAAGCAACGCGCTCTTTGATTTCGCGCGGAAGCTAAAATTTACAAAATTTTAAGCCTTTTGCCTCTGTTGCTCACATATCACGTGCGATAAGAAAGCATAGGATTTATGCATTGCCAAAGGCAAAGCTTAGTTTGGTCATGGTCTCCCACCCATGCGTACGAAAATTTGTTCAAATGTGCTGTGTATTCTCCCTCCCCCCCCACACGCCGATCCACGTTTTCCTCCCCCTCCCCTCCCCTTTCTCCATTTCCGTGCGGCCGAGGGATTAAGGGGGTTCAACGTTAACTGCCGTGGTTAACCGAGTCTGCCAAGCGCATCAGGGCGTGGCGGAGCGTGGCGGAGCGTGGCTGCGCTGTTGCGGCGCCACGCGCTCACACAAACATAAACACACACGCGCACACACACACACACACGCGCGCACACACACACACCACACACACACACTCAAACGCGCGCGCGTACGCGGGCCACGTGCTTTGCGGCTTTAATGGTTTCCAGCGGGACCGCACCCGCGGATCAAGGACGTCGTAGCGGCGGGGCGGGGCGGCACTTGGAGCGTCGAGGCGCGGCTGCATCGCGGGTGCGGGGCCTACCCGACGGCCCGACGGGGACGGGTACCCGGCCAGCAGCCCGGCCGGCCGCGCCTGGCCTTGGAGCTCGACTTGGAGCTCGAAGCGCCCGCGGATCGGCGCATAGGCAACCCGCACCGCACGCGCGCGCGGCGGGCCTGCCGTTGCACCCCATTACCATTACCACTAGAGGCTAGACCTGACTTTTCGGAATCTCTCGGCACACAATCGCTCGACTCACCTGTCCGGACGCACTCTTCCGAAAGACAGGTGTGGGCAGCGTCACCTGGGGGACAAGCAGGAGAGTTGCATTATCGACCGCCTCACAACACACAAACAACATTTAGAGACGGTTTCAAACTTGAGAGTTCCCTTGCTTTAAAAACAAACAAACAAAAAAACGAGATTTCGGACAATTTTGGAGAGTGTTGGTGAACGGAACAAATTTGTCCCCAAGCATTTCCCCCCGTTTGGCTCTTCATTGGAGTGGCAGAAATGAAATGGCGACGGAAATCAGCCGGAAGGGCCCCCACCCCGTCCACTCCTCTTCCTCCCCCCCCCCTTCTCCCCGCCTCGAGCGGTCTGCTCCTGCGCTGCCCTGTGTCAGTGTGTCGGTGTGTCGTTGTGTCGGTGTGTCGGTGTGCGTCGGGGCGTCGGTGTGTCGGTGTGACGGAGGATCGTCAAGACGAACGGGGGCGTTCCCAGGCGTTCCACAGCCCCTGCACCACGATGTATACCCCGGCCAGACCTTTCGTTTGCGCCAGTCCACGCCAGTCCACGCCAGTCCCAGGGGGCAGCTTTTCACTCAACTGGGCTTCCCTTCCGAGAGTGGATCTCGTCTCTCTCGCACCTATAGGGAGCGCCCATGATCGCGAGAGAGAGGCAGCGACGAAAACGACTCTCAGTCTGCTGGCGAGTCTGGCGAAGCTGGAAAAGCTATGGCGAAGCCGTACACAAATGATGGCGGGCTGCCACGCCGCGCCAACCGCCACGCTCGCCCGGCCACCCGCCTCGCAGGAACACGACGCAACGCCCGCGAAAAACTTTCACGTTGACTTTGTTTCGGCCGGCGTGGTCCGGCCGCAATGAAGGAGAAGCGGTGCACCCCGACGGAGCACCGGCAGAGTTACTCCGAGCGTCGTTTCCGTCGCTCCGTCTCTCTCGCACTCTTGGAGCGGCCCGTATGGGTGCGAGACAGACAGAGCGACGAAAAGTACTCTTGGAAGCAGCCTACAGGTGACCCTCCATGGCGAGCCCTGGCTGGGCCTGGCTGGGCCTGGCGTCGCGGTGGAGGCGGACCCTGAATGGTAGCTAACTAATCAGCGTGCAAATGGAGGCCCCTCGACCCTGGCCGCCCCGCCCCGCCCCGCCCCGCCCGGCCCCGCCCCGCCCCGCCCCGCCCCCCCGGCCGGCCGGTGCGCGAGGGGCCCATGGTCCGTGCCCAGTCAGTCCGGACTGCCGCCCCTCCCCCTCCCCCTTCCGCGCCACAGCGCGACGCGACCCGCATAAACGGGCTAATGAGGGTTTGATATTTAAACGAACTTGCGAGTAAATTTTAACTAGGGAGTTATTTGAGCGGCGCAGCGGCGCACGGAGAGAGACTTAGGGCCTGGATGCGTGAGCAGCGTGCCGATTCGCCATTGGACTCCGCAGCCTGATTCGGGGAGTCGTTTTCGTCGCTCTGTCCTTCTCGCACCGACACGGGGCGCCCCATGAGTGCGAGAGGGACAGAGCGACGAAAACGACTCTCGGATTGAGCCTGCAGGCTTACCGGTGCAGGAGTAGCTGGCGATGCTGGCCACCAGGACGGCGAGGAGGGCGAGGAGCAGCAGCGCCGCCGCCGCCAAGACCACCCTGCTGAGGGTGGTGGACGTCCGCAGCGTCCGCAGCCACACGACGAGGCCGACGTCCCGGCGGCCGCCTCCCTTGCGCGCCACGCGCTGGACCTGGCCGTGAGGATCGGACGGCGTAAGTGCACAGAGGGCCAGAAGACCGGTGGACGCGGAAAAAAACTCTAGGCGCGTTTTGAGCTCCAGAGTCGCTAAATGGGACTCGAACCGAACGTGTGACCCCACCAATGGATTGCTCTCCGGACGAGGATTCCATTGGTGAGGTCACAATCTTAGCTGTGTGACGGAATGGCACCTTGGTCTTGGCGTGGCCGTGCAGCTTGGCGACGTCCACGACGGTGTGGGTGATGGCGGCCCCGTTGTCGGCGCGCGAGGCTCGCGGGGACGGAGGCCCTGCCAGGGGCCCGGCCAGGGGGTTGTCGTGCAGCCGGAGCTGCGGCTGTCCGCCGGCGACCTGGGCTGCGGGGGCCGCGATGTCCTGGGGCAGGAGGCGCCCCCACTCGGCGTCATCCTGCGCCCCGCCAGAAGGTGATGACTCCCGCGAAACCCGACAGCAGGCTGATTCCGAGAGTCGCTTTCATCGCTCTGTCTCTCTCACTCATGGGGCGTTCCCTATAGGTGCGAGAGAGACAGAGCGACGAAAACGACTCTCGGAGTCAGTCTGCCGGCGACCAGACAGGCCCGAGTCCTTACCTCCCGGGGGGCTGCACCGTTGCGGCCGTCCTGCTGGCCCTGCAGGCCCTGCTGGCACAGGTATCCGTTCCTCGTCGGGGACGGCGTCTGCGACGGCGACGGCGCCTTGCAGACCGCGGCGTGGACGCCTAGCGCGGCGCCGATGCACACCGCCTCCTCCTTGGCGCTGTCTATCATGGCCACCAGCCTGGAACACTGTCCGCACACTGTGAAAACCTTGCAAGGTGAAGCGGGTGGAGTGCACCCGGGGCAGGCCGAGCAGGCTCTGCAGTGCAGACGGATTCCGAGAGTCGTTTTCGTCGCTCTGTCTCCGTCGCACTGGGCGTCCTGTGAAGGTGCGAGGGAAACGGAGCGACGAAAACGACTCACGGAATCAGTCCGCTGCAACTGACAAGGCGCGCGCCTCGCGCATCGACGGCGTGAATGGCGTCGCCTTGATGGAGGGCCACTCGTCCCCCGGGCCGTCCACGCCGTCAGCGCCGTCTGGCACACAACGCACCCCCACGTCCACTGTCCACTGGGGTTGACTGGGACTCACGCGCACATTGCGTTGCGCGCACGGGGAATGTTTCAGAGAAGTCAAGCATCGCGACTAAAATAGGGTCAGGGAGGGGGGGGGGGATTATGCACACCTCTATTTGAGAACGAAATGTCAAAAAACAAAAGGGGGAGTCCGATTTTCTTCCACCCCCCAAGGTGTTCGATTCTTCCACGCACTGAGCCTCACGTACGTGCTTAGTATTTAAAATAAAAATGAACATTTTGAGCACGTTGAACTCATTAAATGCATTTTCCGGTTGATTGCGAGTGGAGCTACAAACTTAATTTTAGAACATTTCTTCAGGGTCCGAGTGAACTTATCTTCAGTTAGTGATTTTCTCTCAACACCCTAAAAACAGCGTTGTTACTGATTTCTATTTTCCCCGCGGCCCTTCCGCCGACGCCCCAGACCAGAGCCCTCGAGGAGGCCGGGGACGTCGTCCAGGCTGGAGTCCGATTCCGAAACTCGACTCGGCTCTCGTCGCTGTCTCTCTCGCACTCACAGGGCGCGGCGCACGAGTGCGAGAGAGACAGAGCGACGAAAGCACTGTTCGGAATCGTCCAGCTGAGCGCGGACGGGGCGAGGAGGGGGGCGCGGAAATACACGCAGGAGAATAGAGCAATAAATATAAAGTGGGCCGGCTTTGCCACGGCAGTGCGGTGCATCTTCTTGGGGACCGGCAGACTGATTCCGAGAGTCGTTTTCGGCGCTCTGTCTCTCTTGCACTCATGGAGCGTCCCCTATAGGTGCGAGAGAGACAGAGTGACGAAGACGACTCTCGGAATCAGTCTACGGCCCGGGTGCCCGGCCTCGCCCTTTGCTCACGTGTTAGGCCTCCTTAGGACCTCCTTTGGACCGGATCGCACCGGCCTATACACAGCAACAAGTTACACTGACGGTAAAGAAACGCACTCCAAAACGGGCGCGACCCGGACCCGACGCAGGCGCAGTCCGCGCAGTCCGCGCAATGGCGACCTGGCCGCTCCAGCCCGTCGGTGAGTGAGGTCGGTTAGAAAAACAAACCGCGAGCGAGAACACAAAAACGAAACAAATGCCCGTGGGGAAAGGCGTTGCACGCGTGTGCGACCCGCCGTCCTGCAGTGTACGACGCAGCACGCGCACGCGGCGGGGCGGATGGCGTGCGCCGTGGCGGCGTGCGCGGTCAAGGACTCGACACCACAAAAAAAGAGGCGAAAAAAAAATAGGGGGAAATGGCTGCAAAACATGGGACCGCCGTACAAGGTGTGACACGGCGGGAAGCGCGCCGATCGACTGCCGGGACAAATGAGGCTCGTCAAAGCGAGCGCCCCGGCGGCGGCACCGCCTGCAGACTGATTCCGAGAGTCGTCTTCGTCGCTCTGTCTCTGTCGCGCCTACACGGGACGCCCCATGAGTGGGAGAGAGACAGGCTGGCCCGGGCTGGCCCCCTTTGCGGTGTGCGATGCGTCTCGGCAGCCTCCGCCTTGCCCCGCCTCGGCTGGGGGATAATCACCGCCGCCGTTGTCGGCTCGGTGTCACGAGGGGGCCGGAGGGGACGACGTGGGGGAGGGGCAGGGAGGGGGATAGGTATCGTTATTAAGTGATGCATGGCGCCTGTCATGAGAGCGACGCGTTTCGGCGCTGTCGCGGCGTAGCGCCCTGCCGGGTCACCGCGCCATGTGTGCGTCGACGGACGGACGAACGGACGGCAGTTCGCCACACAGACAGACAGATAACAGACAAGCGGACTTGTAAAATCGGAAGACAACGTACGGGAAGGCAAGGGGTAGTGGCTGAGCAGCAGAGCCGTTCAGAAGAGTCGCTCTGTCTCTTTCGCACCTCTACGGTGAAGAGAGACAGCGACGAAAACGACTCTCGGAATCGGTCTGCAGAGCCCCTGGAGGGTAGGCGGCGCTGCGTCGCGACGCACGCGTGTCCTACGGGAGTGCCTACCCGCACGGCGCTCGGGCTCCGGGTCGAGCGCCGCCGCTCCGTAGCGCCACATTTACTCGTTTATAAAGTACGAGGGTTCCCGGCAATTTATTGGGTACTCCCGGTGACTAAGTCTTCCTTCTCATTCCCCCGTCCGGCTTCTTGACGAGTTCACCTGTCCGCCGGCCGGGTTCGTTCACCCCGCCCGCCGCGCATCGGGTGGTGGCCGACCAGCACACTGATTCCGAGAGTCGTTTTCGTCGCTCTGTCTCTCTCGCACTCATGGAGCGTTCCAGTATAGGCTTCGTCCGACGTGGACCGGGGCGCGAAACGACTCCTCGGATCGCCTCAGGCGGGCGTCGTGGTGCTGCCTGGAGAGATTAGGAGCTTTTCCCTCTTCTCCGCTCGACGCCCCAGCCCCAGCCCCAGCCCCAGCCCTAGCCCCAGCCCCAGCCCCAGCCCCAGCCCCAGCCGCAGCTTCTCCGCGTGGACCGGGAGCGCCCTCCCCCCGTTCGCCTCAGCCGCCACGGCCCTCTTTTCCGCGTTTTCCCGCTCTGCTTCCCCCACCGCGAGGCGGCAGCGCAGGCAGGTGCTAGCCAGGCGGGCCCGGGGCCTCGGGGCCTCGGGCCTCGCGGGCGACGCGGTATCCCTCGTACGCCGCCCAGGCCGTGCAGGCCCCCCTGTGCGCCGGGACGGCCGGGACGGCCGGGACCCCTCCAACGCCAGAGCCCCCTGCCCTGTGCGCCCCTGCGCCTCCAGCAGACCGCTTCCGAACATCGCTTCGTCGCCCCGTCTCTCTCGCACACTTGCCGCACGCCCCATAAGTGCGAGAGAGACAGGCGAGCACTGTTCGGATTCAGCCTGCAGCGCCTCGAGGGCCATCTTCCGCAATTACGGCCGTCTCGCTTCGACGCCTCCCTCCCTCTCACTCCCTCCACGGTGCTCCCGGTGCTCCCGGTGCTCCCCCTAACCCTCACGGGCCACCTGCCACAAATCATGTTACTGGCGCTCCTACTTCCAGGAGGGCCGGTGCGCCGTGCCGTGCCGTGCCGTGCCGTGCCGTGCCCCACCGCACCGCGCCGGTCAATATCGGGAACAGGCGGCCGAAAGCCCCGGCCCGGCGACAGTTAGTCGTTAGTCCCCGACCGGGCCAAGTTAGTCACTTGAACAACACTCTAGGGCGACCGCCTCACGCTTCGCCTCGCCTCGGCTCGCCTTCCTGGCCTGTCTCGTCCTGGCGCCGAGGGACGGCAGCGCGGCCACCTGATGCCCAGCGTGCCCAGCGTGCCCTGCACCGCGGCGGGGCGGGGCGGGGCGGGGCGGGCCGGGGCGCCGAGGGAGTCACAGCGGAGGAAGCGGCCCCGCGCCCCCTGCGCTTGCACCTCGGGCCCCGCGAGCCCCGAGCCCCGAGAGTCTACGCAGGGCGCGGCACTTTTCCGCCACGGCCAGCGGCCTGTCTCTCTCACACTCATGAAGGGTCCTACATGGGTGCGCGAGAGAGACAGAGCGACGGAGCTCCTGTTCGGAGCCAGCCCGCGGGGCAGCCCGCGACGAGCGCTAAAGTAAACGGGCCGGCGGGGAAGAGTTGGAGGGCACTCCGAGAAAGGATAGACTGGAACAGACCGCAGAGATGGCTCAAGCCTTCGATTGTTCCAGTGCAAATTTACTTATAATTTCGCGTTGTTGCCGCTGTCGCCGTCGCGGCTAGACATTGCCACCCCGCTGTGCCGCGGCGTGGCGTGGCGTGGCGTGGCGTGGCGCACTGCAGACCGACCGGCCCGCGGCACGGCACGGCACGGCCCACCCACCGCAGGCTGCCGCAGGCCTGCACTTGTTGATACAGCCTGTTTGCACAGAGATTTCAATTTCTGGCGACGGCGAGATGGTGTTTCGGTATTTGCCCGGCCGCGACATCGACGACAGAAAATTCCGAGCGAATTCCGCGCGCGCC